CAGGGCAGGCACTGCGGCGTCCAGTCAGGCCTCCAGGGAAAGAAGGGAAGCGGGGGACTGCCCACAGCCCCACAGCCAGTGAGAGAGCCAGACTCTGGAGAAATTCCGTCCCACTGGTTCCTTAGGTGCAAAGGCACGTTGTTTGGGGGTGGCATGGGGATGGGGCGGGGGGGGGGGGCAACGTACTGTCTTGATCCAAAGGAGGCAGCTGGCAGCGCAAAGAAAAATGTGTTTTATTACATCCTGCCCAGGGTCTAATGGTTGGTTTCCCAATTACACACCGCTGCCTCCATCCCTCCAGCACGGGCCTCTTAGAGCCCCAGCCAGCCGCTTCTTCCAGCCCCTTCTTCCGCCAGAACAAAACAAGATCTGCGTCTGCACTGCCCGGCTCGCCTGGCACAGAAAAACATCGGGAACCAAAGCAGCGTTTTCTCTGCTAACCACCCCCCAAGGGGAGCTGCTTAATAGACTCTTTATGGGTTGGAAAATAGTCCTGTGGAGGGAAGAGCGAGGGGGGTGGGGAGACAGCAGGCTTGAGTTCTGGCAGCCCCAGAATAACTCAGTGACTTTTTTTTTTCCTTCTCCCTTCTCTGATTATCTTTATTATAAAAGCCCTATGGCATTTTACTTCTTGTTGGCCGGCCTTGGCTGTAGGGTGCCTGCCCCCCCCCCCCGCCCCCATACTCCGCAGGCTGGCCGGCCCATCGATCGCCAGGGCCCCCCTCCAGCAGGCCTCTAGGGCAGCTGAAAAGCACGGTCCATTAGCCCAGGTCATTGAAAGGGGGCACCGCCGCGAGGCTGACCCCGAAACAGGGTCTTGAGGATCAATAGTGTCTTCTCCATTAAGCCCATTTCCTCGGAAGGAAACCGGTGGGCCATTAGGGTTCTGCTTATTGATGGTCCCTCCACGGCCCTCCTCAGGGACCAGGAGGCCCGAGGGCACGGAGGCACTGCCGGGTTACCCTGCAAGCCTCACGGCGCTGGCTGGGGGGACCAGACAGAACCCAAATCAAGGGATGGGGAATAAATCGTCCTCTGAGGAACAAGAGACCCAGGCAACTAGGTGCAGCAAAGGAGAGCGTGCCTTGGGGCCCGCTCAGAGGGCAGCATCTCTGCCCATGCTGGCTGCAGAGTCCGCCCCATGCAGCAGCTCTGCCCCATTGATTTCCTTGACCATTTTTTTTCTCCTCTGAAACACACAAGTAGGACAGCTCCTGTGGCCACATCCTTCGAAGGCTTGGCCCGAGTCGGCAGTGGGGAGGTGGTGGGAGGCCCAGGAAAGCTTCTGATAAGGGCCGGAGAAATAGAACAGCTAGGAGGGTGTTTGCCTTGCATGCGATTCACTCAGGTTCGATCCCTGGCATGCCATACGGTCCCCCGAGCACCCCTAGGCGTAATTACTGAGTGCAGAGCCGGGAGTAACCCCTGAACATGGCTGGGTGTGGCCCAACAAGAAAAATAAAGTTTCTGTTCATTCTAGCGAGAGCCTCAGGCTGTTTTTCAGCCTAACCCTGAGGAATCCCTTCTAGGTGTGCATGGGGTTCTGGTCCCCTTTTCTCTGTGGTGGACTCTTGGACCAGTCGAGGCAGGAATTGGGGCCCTTCACAGCTGGCCTCTCCCCAGTCTCCTGCATATCATTACAATTTTGAAGGAAGAGAAATGAGAGGGCTGATTAATTAGGTCATCTTTTAATTGAATTCAGAGTTGTTAGGTGTGGAAAAATCTAAGATCTGATGTCCTACAGTCTGAGAATTCATTTAAACTCTGCAGTTGGTGTGAGGTTTCTGGTTGCTCAGACTGCCTCAGAAATGTGTAAGGGAAACAGAACTTGGTTACGGTTTCCCAAGGGCCGCGTCCCCTCACAGGGGGTCACACTTGGCTCCTTGTCATCTTGTCTTTGGCGCAAGGCAGCCTTTGAACCGTGACACAAAGCATGTGGGATCCTGAAGCCGGCTAGATTTCCCGGGTCGACCAGCGGCCCCAAACTAGGACAGAACAGCCTCAAGTGATGGGGAAACTCAAGGTCTTGCTATTTGGAAGAAATCCATCTCTTTTCTGTGTTGTGTCTGCCGGTAGCCCTTCCTCCATGTGTCAGCTGGTGGAGGGCAGGTAAACTGGCCCCATCAGCTCAGGGGCCAGTGCTTGGGCCAACCCTGAGGCCAGGACAGCTGGCGTGTGTGTTCAGCAACTCCTGAGTGAGACACACAGGAAATTGGAACCCGGTGGGAGACATCTAGCTTACCTGCCAAGAGAGATCCAGATGCAAAGTGCCACTCTCAGGGAAAGCTTGGGGACCACCGCCCCCACCTGGACCTGGTGTCTGTTGATGGTACTTGGTCTTGCTGGTATGCTTACCTTGGAGCTGCGCCATGCCTTCTTGATTTATCGACAATCCCGACCTTCCTGCATTCCCATAATTGTCCTGCCTCTCTGCATCCCTCTGACCCACCCCCCACCCCATGCGCCCTCCTGAAAGTCCCCACGGGTGGTTTCATCTCCCAGAACCCAGCCCTCGTGATGAGACTGCTTCTCACACGTAGTGTGCTGTGTTCCTTGTCCCCACCTGTCACCACACTCTCCACGGGGGCCCGTGTCCTTCCTCTGGGACCACCCCCTGCCCCTTCGTGTACTGTGCCCTCTGCCCTTCCTGCCCAGCATCGCACTCCTGCTCCTTCATGCCCCAGCCACCTCTTTCTCTGCCTTTGAGACCCAGCATCATCTCGGGTGAATTTCCAAACACCCACCAGACCCCTGGCCCCGGCTGTTCTGTGGGCAGAGTTAAGGGACCAAGCACAGCCTTGTGGGCACAGGGAGGGACAGCACAGAGGAGCCTGAGGTGCGTGACCCCAGGACGGGGTCTGACCCTGCCAGCAGCATTGTGCACCTTGGTGGCCGGCAGGCGGGACTTTCTAGAAACTTCCCCCACCTGTGGTTCCCTGAGCCCTGCATCAGGGCATCAGCACCAGGGGTCCTGCCCACCCAAGGCTGATTTTCTTGCTCTTCCCTTGCTCTTCCTCTGCCTCGGGCCCTCCATAAGCTGATCGCCCAACTTGCTTCCAAATGGATGGGGCTTCCCTCATTCTTTCCTCAGGGCCAATCCTTCATCATCTTCCTCAGTCCAGTTCCAAACTCTCTCAAGAAGCCAGTGTTGGAGTTCCTGGGACCAGGGCTGACTTGGGGCTTTCTTCTTCAGAGGATGCATACTGGGCTTCTGGGGAAATGCACTTCACTGGGACATCTTTGATGGGGAACGGGGCCTGGGAGGGGGGAAAGACGGGGATCCCTGGTGTCAAAGAAACTCCCCGGGGCTGGAGCCGCAGCACAGCGGGGAGGGTGCTGGCCTTGCACGTGACTGACCTGGTTCAATCCCTGGCACCCACTGTGGTTCCCTAAGCCCTGCAAGGAGTGATCTCTGAGCATGGCCGGGTGTGGCCCCCAAACCAAGCACCACACACTTGGCTCCGTCATGTTTGAAGCAGCAGATCTCGTTCTGGCGGGTTGGATTCCTGGGCTTGGGAGCAGTTCTAGCCTGGAAGGTCAGGGCTTACATCCTGTAGTGGAGGGGCTGTGAGCATCAGCAGGGAGGGACTGCAGGGGAGGGGTCTGCGAACAGCTGGGCTGGGACTCTGGTTTCTACCCTTTTGCATCCCCGGCGTCAGAGGGTCTGTATGGATTTCCATGACTTGCTTTTTCCTGCTTCCGTTGCCTTATGTCTGCTGGGACGGCTGCCCTCCTGGCAGCACCAGTGTTGCTAGCCTGAGGCTGCTGCTTGTGCTCAGGACTTGGGGGGTGAGCAGATGGACAGATGGCCTTCCTCAGTACCCCCCTCCACCGGGTGCCTGGGTCCTGGGACCCCTGGAGCAGTTTTCCCAATGTCACGTGCAGGCAGTTGTGCCCACAGGTGGTCAAGGTCCCTTCCCACTGGAACCCCTGGTTGTGTAGTTGCTCCCAGAGGGCACAGCTGTTGGGGGCGATACTTGGAGTGGCAGGTGCACTAACGGGAAGTCCCGCCCCCCATCTCTCCTCTCAAACAGAGCTGGACTCGGGCGGAATAAAGGAGCAGCAACGTGGGCCGGGCACCGTTCGGATGCACCCAGATGTTTTAGCACCATTCCGAGAGGGCCCCTTCTCGGTGTGACCGTCCCTGAATCCTCAGCCCCGACCAGTTCCCTCTCGACATTCAGGGTCCCCTGACCTTTGCCTGCGTTGCACTTATCAGGGTGTCATTATCTAAGTGTCTGCACAACAAATGCGTTCACCCCTGCCCCACTGAGGCTTGGGTATGTGTGTGACCCTTGAATGTGGCCCCAGAACCTGGCACGGGGCTGCTGAGCACCGGCAGCTTCTCCGTGGTTGCTGTGGTGAGCAGCGAACTGCCCGGAGAAGCCAGGAACTGGGGCAGCTTTCCTGGGGTCTGCCTCTTGCGTGCCCTCTGGGGCCGCCCACCCCGCAGACCTTGCTCCAGAGCCACTGTCTTGGAAGGCATTCCGCCCTCCTTCCTTATGCACTTTGCCAAGGCGCCATGAAGTTGGGTGTGTGTGTGTGTGTGTGTGTGTGTGTGTGTGTGTGTGTGTGTGTGTTTTCATACCACTCCAGAGGGGATCTGGGTCAGGAAGCAGGAGTGGGCGAAAAGGAAGGAGGAAAGAAAGAAAGAAAAAAAAAACCCAAGACATGACAACCTTTAGGGAAGCAAAAAAATAAAACTCGAATCTGGAAAAGGGCTGAAAATAGACTGCAGGGGTTGCAGGCGAAGCCGCTGCTCAGTGCATGGAAATCACACGCATTCCGTGCTGCTGGGACCTGATTTGACCCCAGGGTGGGGGGATCCTGCCACAGCCCGCACCCCCAACACACACACACACGCATGCACACAGCCCTGAAGGTTCAGCCTCACCCCCGGTGCTGTCTGCTTCACGCTCTGCTCCTCCCTGCTGCGAATGGAACGGCTAAGAGGCTAAAAATACTAACAATAGAAATCTGATTTTTTTTTCCCCTTCCAGACAAAAAGCCCTGGCATCCACAGGAGGAAGGAGCGTTCAGGCAGCATGTGACTGGTTGGTATGAAATAACCGAGACGCTGGGCTAGCATCCGACCGGGAACGGGAGCCTGTGGATAGGCACAACGTGGGCTGCTAGGTGCACATGAGTCTCCAGACCTCACAACAAGTTTATTATTTATGAAGCTGGTGGCTTCCTCCCTCCACCCTGGCCCAGACGTGCCTCCTTGCAGCTGCTTAAAGAGTTCATGGCAGGGGCCCAGAGCCAGAGTCCGGTGGGTGGGCGCTTGCCTGGCACGCGGCTGAGCCGGGTTCGATCCCCGGCATCCCATAGGATCCCCCTGCACCTCACCAGGAGTGACACCTGAGTGCAGAGCCAGGAGTGAGCCCTGAGCAGCGCTGTGTGTGCCCCAAACACAAACAAAGAAATGCAGGACAGGGCTAGAGAGGCTCTTGGCCTGCATGCAGCCATCGGAGTCTCACTGTGGGTGCTGGGCGGGAGCCTCTGAAGGAGTCTCTGCTCCCCACTGCCCAGGGAGACGTGGGGTTAGTGGTGGCTGGAAGGGCCGGGCCAGGGACACCTTTCAGGATGCCTGGGAAAGGAAGCCCAGTGGATGGATGGAGAGACCCCCAGGGCGGTCTCGGGCTCTGTAGGAAGTTGGTGGGGGGGAACACAGGAAGTTGGTGCGAGAGAGAGTTGGGGGTGCAGCGGGGATGGGGAGTTCTTGCAGCCACAGGCATTGGTGCCCGGGAGCGGCTCCGTCTCCTCCACTGTCCCCTCTGGTCCCCGCAGGCTCTTCTCCCACGTGGGTGACCCCTTCTTGGATGACCCTCTGCCCCGCGAGTATGTGCTCTACCTCCGGCCCAACGGCCCCCTGGGCCAGAAGCTGTCGGATTTCTGGCTGCAGTCGAAGCAGATGTGTGGGAAGAACAAGGCACACAACATCTTCCCGCACATCACGCTCTGCCAGTTCTTCATGGTGAGAACCCCCACCCCCACCCAGGGGCCTGGGCAGGGAGGAAGGGTGTGTGTGTGTGTGGGGGGGGGGGGGGTTGGCGGTCTGGTCACTCGCCCCAGCTCTCCACACTCCTCCGAGGCCCAGCAGGACTTGCTCAGGTTCGTGACCTCCTGAGGGACAGAGCTGGTAAACCCCTCACTGGGCTGGTACCCGCCTTCCTGCTCAGACAAGGGCAGCCAGGACCAGATGGAGGCCCCGCCTCCCGCGTCCACCTCACACCTGTGTCCCTGCCTGGCCCTAGGTGATCTCATCACAGCGTCGTGCAAATCCACCACTTCTCTTGAGTTTTCCTTGTGTCAGGACCACGCAGTACAGCGGCCCTTGTATTTCAAAACTATTTCCTGGGTTTTTCCCCCCACCCCAGATTTCTAACTTCTCTTTCGTTCTCTTCCACACCTCCTCACTCACCATTGCCCTGAGAACGTGCTGAGTCTTATTCCTTAAGTCACCAGGAGTTTTCTTGAAAGCACTCAGAGCTCGCCTGATGCGGGGGGAGGGGTGGGGGGTGTCAACCACGGCTCTCTGCGCACCTGCCCTGTCCTCCACTCATCCTGGGGTGACCAACTCAGATCTGAGGGGGTGAGGGGCTGTTGGGGGGAGGGTCTTCCTCACAGTGCTCAGGGAGCCCTGGATGCCTGGCAATTCTCAGCCAACCATTACCATGCCTCGATGCAAGGTCTGCAGAGCGGCGGAGGGCCCTCAGGTCACGGGGCAGTGTTTGGGGGCCTTGGGGATCACCTCCCACGATGCCCAGGTTGGCCGCGCAGCTCCAGGGGTTGAAGCCAGTCGAGCCCGTGCTAGGGACATGCCCTTATCACTGTGGCATCTCCAGTGCCAACAGTCAGTGTAAAAAAGGCCCAAGGATGCTCATGGCCAGCAGGAGACCCCCACCCCCAACCCTCTGCATGCTGCCTTGTTCCCCCACTTGTGGCTTTTGCCGACCGGCTCAGGGGGTGCACATCAGCGCAGGGAGAGGTTGAACCATTTGATGGACAGGATGAACAGCCGATCTGTTTCTGGATCATTCAGCATCTTGTCTGCCGAAATGATGGTTCGGTGTCTGCAGCGCCGGATGGGCTGGGCCAAGCCGGTGTGACGGGACACGGGCCCCTCTGCCCCGTCCCTCACGCAGCTCTTGTCCCTCCCCCCCCCCCCCCCAGTGTGAGGACAGCAAGGTGGACGCCCTGGGGGAGGCCCTGCAAGCCACTGTCAGCCGCTGGAAGTGCAAGTTCTCGGCCCCACTGCCGCTGGAGCTCTACACCTCCTCCAACTTCATCGGCCTCTTTGTGAAGGAGGACAGCGCCGAGATCCTCAAGAAATTCGCCGCTGACTTCGCCGCAGAGGCTGCATCGAAGACAGGTGAAGGTGGACGGAGGCCAGGGAGGCAGAGGTGGCCAGGCCGGGAGAAGGACAGGATGAGGAGCCCACTGTGACCCACCGTGCCCGCCCTCTCCGCCCGCTTTTGCACCCTATCAGCTGAGTCGGTGGGGCCTCAGCCCCTCCTGGACCTGGGTGGTCTCTCCCTCAGGTCTGCAGCTTCCTTTCTGTGCCCAGTGCCGCCCCCTGGTGGTGGTGTGCGGCATTCACGGACCCCGTCCCTCTGCCTATGCAGGCCCCACCCTCGGCTCTGTCCAGGATGGCCTGCTTCCCTGTGTCCTGTGGCTCTGAGCAGACTCACACGTCTGTGTCTATCCACCGAGATGCGTGTGTGCCTGTGTATTATCCCTCCCGCCAGATTCGAATGCCTGCAGGCCTGAGCCGGGGGAATAGATCCCAGACCTGCAGGACTTAGATCAAGGCCACGGTAGAGGAGAACAGAGCCCGAGGGACTAAGGACCGCCTCCCCCCGTCTCTACAGGCAGGCTCACCCTGCTGCTCCCAGCTCACTCCATACCTTCTCGCTGCTCTTGCCCCAGCCCATAACCAGGACGCTTCCTGCTGAGTCATGTCCAGAGAGATGGGGGCTATCACCTCGTCAAGGAAGGTTGGGGAGTGCTCCCGGGCATCTCTGAGTAATAGTCTGCGTACTGGAAGCCAGTGGTTTTCAACCAGGAAAGATTTTAATCCCATAGGGACCTCACTCTAAGGAGTGACTCTTTGGATGTCCCCAAACAGCAATCATTTGACCCCAAGTGCTACTGAGAAAACTCTGTTTCCAACTTTGGGAATATCCCATCTTCCCCCTCATGTGTATTCTCCCTCCAGCCAGATCCGAATGCTTGCAGGCCTGAGGCCCTCCCGGCAAGAGCCCCCACCCCACCCCTCCCAGGACAGCGCTGTATGGAACAAAGGCAGAAGAGTTTTAGAATAGGCACGGAGTCTTGATACTTTATTTTGTTCTTTTTTTTTTATTTTTTAAATCACCATGAGATATACAGTTACAAAGCTGTTCATGGTTGGGTTTGGTCATAGAATGTTCCGACACCCATCCCTCCACCAGTGCAGACTTCCCACCACCAATGTCTTCAGGTTCCCTCCCACCCACCCCCCAGCCTGCCTCTACGGTAGACACTTTCCTTCTCTCTCTCTCTCTCTCTCTCTCTCTCCCCCCTCTCCCTCTCCCATTCTCTCTCCCTCTTTCCTCCCTCTCCTCTTTCCCTCTCCTTCTGTCTCCCTCCCTTCCTCCCTCTCTCTTCCTCCCACTCTCCTCTCTCCCTCTCTCTCCCTCCCTCTCTCTATCTATATCTCTCTCCTCCCTCCCTCTCTTTCTTCTCTCTCTCTTCCTCTCCTTCCCCCACCCCCTTGTTCTCCTTCCCTCCTCTCTCTCCCCTTTTGGAATTTTCAATACAGATGCGAGAGGTTATCATGTGCATTCCTTTACCTGTTTTCAGCACATACTTCTTACTCAGAGTGATCACTTCCAACCATCTTTTCCATAGTGGTCCCCTCCCCCCCAGTGCTTGAGGCAGCTTCCAACCATGGACCAATCCTCCTGACCCTTGTTTCTGCTGTCCTTGGGTGGTATTAGTCTCATATTATGGGTGTGTGTATATATATATATGTATATATATATATATATGCACTAATAATCATTCTATGTTCACCCCTCTCCTTCTGACTCATTTCACTCAGCATGATACTCTCCATGTCCATCCAATTATAAAAATGAATTTTTTTTTTTTTTTGCTTTTTGGATCACACCCGGCGATGCACAGGGGTTGCTCCTGCCTCATGCACTCAGGAATTACTCCTGGCAGTACTCAGGGGACCATGTGGGATGTTGGGAATCGAACCCGGGTCGGCCGCGTGCAAGGCAAATGCCCTACCCACTGTGCTATCACTCCAGCCCCTAAAAGTGAATTTCTTAGCTACAGAAAGCTTTATTGCCCCTTAAATGGGCCCCTCTACAGCGGGACCAGGCTGACCACGTGCTAGCCCAAACGGTTCCCTCTCGATGGACACAGGGCACTCACTGGGGTTCCCAGATGGTCCTGAGTCCCCACACGTCTGCTTCAGCAGCTCTGCGGGAGAGAGACAGCCTTGTCCGGAGTCAGTGCCCATCCTTGGGTGCCCGGAAGCAGGATTTGCCAGGCCGCTCGGTGCTCTGCACTGCTCACCTCTCTCTCTCTCTCTCTCTCTCTCTCTCTCTCTCTCTCTCTCTCTCTCTCTCTCCTCTCTCCTCCCAGAAGTCCATGTGGAGCCTCATAAGAAGCAGCTGCACGTGACCCTGGCTTACCACTTCCAGGCCAGCCACCTCCCCACCCTGGAGAAACTGGCCCAGAACATCGACGTGAAGCTGGGCTGTGACTGGGCAGCTACCATCTTCTCCCGGGATATCCGCTTTGCGAACCATGAGGTGAGGGCTCCCCCGCCCCTCTCCGGCACGGGCCGTCTGCCAGCTCCCGGGGTTCCTGGGGGGTCTCTGGGTGCTGGGCAGGCCCTGCCCTGCTCCCCGGGAATCTCACCTTCCAGTCGGCCCTGCACCTGTATCCTCCCTTCCTCACGCTGTCCCCGTCCCCTGGGGACTGTCAGGGGCAGGACACAGCCCTGGAAAGGCGTGTTGGGAACAGTTTCTGTGTTCTGTCATTCGTCGGCATGAGTGACAGGTGACAGGAGCCTGGGGTACAAAAGCTCTGCAGATGTGTTGAAGGGCATGTGGCAGGGGCTGGGGGCTGTGGGTGGGGGGGTCATGGAAAATGGGGTTTGGTCTCGCGGGAGCCCAGTGGACTGCTATGTCACGGCGGGCAGGTGCCAGGGAGACCCCAGATCAAGCACCTCTGCAGAGGCACCGGGCACTTCCTTCCCAGAGCTGAGACACACAGGGTAGGTGACAGAGTGAGAACTCGGCAGAAGCTTCAGCCATGGCAGAAGCCAGAGCCCCGGGAGACTCTGACCTTAAAAACGGGGCCATCCGATCCATCTCCAAAGAAAAGCAGGGCCCGAAGCGATAGTCCAGACAGTCGGACATTTGCTTGGCACGCAGCCGACCCGGGTTCGGTCCTTGGCATCCCATAGGGTCCCCTGAGCACCGCCAGGACTAATTCCTGAGTGCAGAGCCAGCAGTCACCCCCAAGCATCGCCGGGTGTGAGCCAAAACTAAAGAAAGAAAAGAAAAAGAAAAACAGACGGGAACATAAGAGACCACCCAGCTGGCTGCAGGCTTTGTCACCCCGTTGAACTGTACGTCTTAGGCAATGCTTCTGTCACTGGCCGACTTGGCGAAAGCAAGGAGAACTGGGATTTCTGTTGGTGGACAATGGCCTCCTTTAGGTCTCTTTTAGGCATTTTTTTTTTAGTATGAGACCCAGAATCTTGGGGTCTGCAGCACGGCCCCAACGGTGGGAGCTGGCCCGTGACCCCTAAGGCCAGGGCCGGGGGGCTGTTGGGGACCGGGAGGTAGGGTTCTGACCCCGCAGAGTCCTGCCCTCTGCTGGATCCTGCTCGGGATTCAAACCCGTCGGGACTGCTTGGGTGCGGCTCACGTCCAAGAAGGGGCAATGTGCTGGCCGCCTTCCAGAGGCCGATGGGAGGAGGCGCCGTGGAAACAGTGGGCACGGCCCCGCCACGCTGCCCTCCCATCGGCCCAGAGTGTAAAATTGCTTTTCTGCCTGACCCACATTCGGCTTGGCTGGCACTGAGGGAGAGAGGCAGCCCGCGCCCACGGCGAATTGTTTTCTAAAATTAACTTGGCCTCTTTCACCGTCTCGGAGAGCGTTCATTTACGGCCGCTCCTATTAATGCTCTCCTTTCCCCTCGACCTGTCCCTTGGAGGTCACCTGGCTGTCCCCCAGTCCTTGTCTGTCTTCATCTTCCCTTGGGAGGCGGCTCTGACTCCCAGAAGGTGCCTCTGTGCCCTGCAGGTGGATTAGGCCTGGACACTGAGATCGTCCCCCGAGTCCTGGCCTTCTGCGCCTGCAAGTCTTGTTTGACGGGACGCGGCTCTGTTCGTTCCAGACCAGGGTGGCATGGGGCCATGCCTGACCTAGGTGCAGAGAGGAAAGGGCACACGTTTGAGGCTGGGGGCAGGAGCTTCTCCCCAGAACCGTGGCACATTCTCACGGACACACTCTCCAGGTTTCATTCATCCCTGGGGACTCAAACCCCAGAGATTTGGGACCCCCACGTTCCTGTCGGTGCTTCTCCACTACCAGCAGTGCTGCCCTGAGACTTTCCCACCAGGACCGTTTTCCTTTCCGCGACTCTGATGCCCCAGGAGGGTGTGCGTCCAAAGCAGGGAGGACGGAGGGAGAGTCACATCCGGCGGGCTATCAGGTTTCCTGTCTAAATAGGGGTTCCCAGATTAGGCAATCTCCCAGCCCCTTTTTCAGTAAAAAATATTAGCTCTCCCACCCCCTGTCCCCTGCTGAAATCTTCCTTCTGTAAGGGAACAGAAACATGCCCCAGTTGTCCAGAAGACACAGCCACTCTCTGGGTAGGTCCAGCTCCCCCAGGAGGTGGATTCCCCTCTGTGGGAAAAACGTGGAGAAGGTGTTTTGAGAGGCTTCAAGGACAGCAGGGAGCTGCTGGCTCCCGTCCAGGGAAGGTGCCCGGTGCAGTGGCGACTGCCTGGCCCCTGGGGCAGACTCTGTGCCGGGTGCATTCTCACTGGCCCATCCGGGAGTCGCTGACCGCTGAGACCCAGGCCTACATTCAGGCCTCTGGGAGAACCTGAATGTAGGAACTAAAGTGCTTAGATGACCTCGGGAACAAGCAGTGCCTCCTGCTTTAGGGCCTCTGAAATGAACCCAGTGAAATAAACCCCAGGACAGGAGAGGAAATGGTTTTCTGATGTTGAGGTTTCCTACAAAGTAGTTGAGAGACGGGGAGGGGGAAGGGAGGGAGAGGAGGGGAAGGAAGAGAGATGAAATGTTTCCCCAAATCTCTTAGGCTGAGCAAACGAAAGGCTATGTGCCTGGGATGGACAGAGACAGACGGAAACAGAAGCTGTCAGCCCCAGGGCTGGTTGACCGGGTGGGTCTTCGGGACTCCTTCTAAGTCCAGTACGAAGAGACTCCCAGAGCCTGCCAGGAGGACAGGCCACCCCCACTGGGAGCACATCTGTCAGGCAGTTTACTAAAGAGCATGTAGGTTGGCCACTGCATATTTTTTCTTTTTGGGTCATTCCTGGCGATGTGCAGGAGTGACTCCTGGCTGTGCACTCAGGAATTACTCCTGGCGGTGCTCAGGGGACCCTATGGGATGGCGATCAAACCCGGTCAGCTGCATGCAAGGCAAACGCCCTACCCGTTGTACTGTTACTCCTGTCCCTCCACTACAGCTTTGGAAGTCACGTCTGGGGCTGTGCAGCCACACCCCTGCCACACATCCCCAAGGGCGGGCATGCTCTGTACACCAAGTTTGGGCGGGCCCCTTTCGCTGCCGTGCATGACCACCTAGGAGGGCTCGGCCATGGGTCTCACTCGCACTCCCGCTTTCCTCCCCCAGACGCTGCAGGTGATCTACCCCTACACGCCGCAGAATGACGATGAGCTGGAGCTGGTCCCCGGAGACTTCATCTTCATGTCTCCCATGGAGCAGACCAGCACCAGCGAGGGCTGGGTCTATGGCACGTCCCTGGCCACGGGCTGCTCGGGCCTCCTGCCCGAGAATTACATCACCAAGGCGGACGAGTGCAGCACGTGGATATTTCACGGGTGAGCTGGCCCTGATAGCCCTAGCATCTTAGTTTGTCCTGAGCATCCCAAGAGCTGGAGATGGAAAAGGTCCGCTTGTCCTTGGAACAGGGTGCCAGGCCCCTCCTTCCAGGTCCACACCCAGGCTGGCACCTCCTGGGTACTGCAGAGGGATTTTAGGGAATGGTTCAGGCTGCTCCCCACATCATATTGGAGCCAGACTGCTCCCTGATGCCGGAAGGGAGGGTGGCTGCATTCTCCACGCCCAACGAGCTACAGGGGAGAGGGGGTGGGTCTCTCTGGCCATGACCAAGACCTGCAGGAGCATTTGCAAATACACATAGTGTCAGGCTGGAGCGCTGATGTTTTGGTGTTTGGGGTCACTCCAAGCAGTGACGAGACAGATGTGAGGGAAGTGCTTTATGCCCTGCCCTCTAGAGGACTGGTCAGTGGCAGGGAGCTTGTCACAAGAGTGTGGGAGGAGCGGGGCAGTTGAGGATAGAGCAGGCACCAGTATGATGATAATAGTTGCAAATGATCATTTTGGACAGGAACTGAGTGTTGAAAGTAGGTAAAGGGATATACTTGATAACCTTTCAGTATCTGTACTGCAAACCATAAGGCCCAAAAGGAGGGAGAGAGAGAGACAGAGAGAGAACTGGTTCCCAGTTTCCCTGCCATGGGGGGAGGGAAACTGGGAACCGGGGACCTTTGTGGTGGGAAATGGACCCTGGTGAGGGGACAGGTGTTAGAACTCAAACCTGGTCATGAACGACTTTGTAACTGTTCATCTCATTGTGACTCAATCTAAAAAAAAATTAAATTTAAGTAATAATAATAACCCCTGTACTCACTCTCTCTCCAACCTGAGAGGTTTCCCCCAAAGATTATTACTATAAACCCCCCCAGAATTAGATGCCCAAGGAGCAGGTGGTCAGACACAAACTCAGCCTTTCAGCTGCATCATGATCACAGGCCAACCCACCCCCAGGATCCTCATAAGTGACCCTGGCCCAGGAAACGCTGACCGGCCCAGCCTGAGCAGCACACAGTGCTCACATGCATTAGATAAAGCCTGAAAAGTGGAGGGGGGTGATCTCTGGCTGGGTTTGCCCGCTGCGCCATGCAGGACCCCCGAAGGAGTGGGGGGGGGCATCTCTAGCATCCAGGAGGAGTGAGACAGTCTCATCCCTGGTCGTCCTGCACGTCAGGGCCCAGACTGATGGGGTTGGAGTGGGGATAAGGCAGCCCCACAGCATCCTGGGGACCTACAGGCAGAGTTGGGGGATCGGGAAGGACCCAGAAGGGCAGATGGTGCCATCACCCCCCTCCGCCACTGCAGAGCCGAATCAGAAAGACGGAGGGCAGCAGAATCCATGTGTTGTTTCTGCACCAGCTTCAGGGAGCGAGGCTGAGCTGCTTTAGCCTCTGGAAGACAGAGCAAGGAGCTCTGCTTTCCTCCTCTGTGGCCACCTCAGAAGTGCGTGTTTCCAGGGCCCTTGGGGTGTGTGTCCACAGAGCCTGATTTATTACCTGCAGGAGGACTAAAGGTCAAGCCAGCGCTTCCGGTCTCGGTGCTGACCCTCCCTCCTTCCCCTCTCTCTGCAGCTCCTACTCCATCCTGAACACGGCGTCTTCCGGGGCCCTCTCCTTTGGGGACGGGGTATTGGAGAGACGGTCATATGAGGACCAGGCTCTGGGGGAGACCACCCCCCTGACGATCGTCTGCCAACCCACACAGGTAAGGCCAGCCTTGGGCCACTTTGCTAATAGAAGGTCCTGCCCATACTGACCCCCCAAGAACCTGTACCTGCACTGGACTCACACAGGTCCGGGTCAGCAGAGGCAGGCCAACAGCCATGAGCAGCCTCGGGGTTCTTGGCCATACTCTGCAGAGGGCTGGAATAGTACAGTGGGTAGGGAGTTTGCCTTGCATGTGGCCAACCCGGGTTCAATTCCTCTGTCCCTCTCGGAGAGCCCAGCAAGCTACCGAGAGTATCCCGCCTGCACAGCAGAGCCTGGCAAGCTCCCTGTGGCGTATTCGATATGCCAAAAACAGTAACAACAAGTTTCACAATGGAGACCTTACTGGTACCCACTCGAGCAAATCGATGAATAATGGGAGGACAGTGCTACAGCTACAGTGCTCTGTAGAGGGGAGGGCGGGTTCTCTCTCAAGTCGGGGGTTCAGGCCAGTCTTGGGGGCCCCAAGATGTGGAGATGGGAGGGCATGAGAAGAGTAATGTATCAGGAGGATGCAGAATGGGGACGTCACGGCAGCCGCTGTTAGATGGTGCAGACACAGACACCTGGTGGATGAGAGGGGTCCCTGAGAAGAAGAAATCTGGAGAAACTAGATTGTCCTGGCGAGAGCCAGGAGACAGCGCTGACCCTCAGACCACTGGGGTTTTTGTCTTTGGCCCACACCCAGCACTGCTCAGGGCACCATACAGGGTTCTCGGGATGGAACCCAGGTCGGCTTCATGCAAAGCAAGCGCCCTGCCCGCTGGGCTCTCTCCAGCCCCTGAATAACTTGGATTGAACCTGGACAGCACCCTTGCCTGTGGATCTTTGTCAGTACATACAGTCCGTGCTCCGGGGTCCCGGGCTCTGCAGAGATGAATCCCAATGGTCATCCCGGTGGTGAAGGAACATGGGCATCTCTGGGGAGTCCCGCGGGCTCTGAATCAGCGGAGCGTGTCAAAGTCACAGTGAAGGGCAATCGGTACCCCTCAGCCCCACATTGCCCAAGGGTCAGTGGCAGATCAGCACCCCCAGAAGTGATGCAAAATGTAGGACCCCACTAAGGAAGCTGGAAAGAGCTGATTATCAAATAGGCTTTTGTCTGTAAGGCTCCACCAGCAGGTACAGAACCAGGCAACTTTGTTGAGACTTGCCCGGTTCATCACAGGGAGCCCCGTCCTCCCTGAGTCACCTCAGGGACCAGTGAGACGGAAGGGAGCCATTGCCCATGTGTTCTAAGCAGCAAAGGTTAGGAACCTGGTGGAGAAGTGTGTGCCCGCAAAGCTCCCTGCACCCCAGGCAGGGGTGACTCTCGCCCCGCAGATGACTGGCTGTAAGGGACTCGCTTTCCAAACTCTGAGTTGTAGTTACGGGCCACACGCTGCTTCACGCACCCAGATAATCCCCTCATCACCCCCTCTCAGCTGGCAAAGCCCCTGTGGCTTCCCGTCTCCACTGAAAGCCTGCCTTTCTCTGCAGCCCCTGAGGGTCAGCAGCCAAGTGGGCCCCCAGAAGCGATACCTGTTTGTGTGCCGGCATGGGGAGAGGATGGACGTCGTGTTCGGGAAGTACTGGCTGTCCCAGTGCTTCGACGCCAAAGGTGAGTGAGTGTGGGCCGGCTACAGCCGTCTGGGCCTCCCCGGGCGCTGACAGGCCACCTCGTCTCCAGGAGACGTCTGCATGCTCATCTTGAGTTGGAGGGAAAAGACAAGTATTATTCACCCCACCCGCCTCCGACCCTGTTGCATAAATTAAGGTCAAGGCAGCAGATGACTCCCTCGTCCATGATGTGTGGCAAAGCACAGTGTCCTCACTCCACTGTTTTTTTTTCATGCAGTCGGGCTGGGTCATTGGCATCCACTGCCTCTTGAATGGCATGTTTAAAATAGGGAGGGCTAGGGGGAACTGGGGTACAGATCATGTCTCATGTCAGGCCCTGGGTTCATTCCCACCAGCCTGCCTAGCAGGTTGAGGCCTGGGTTAGGGCATCTGGATGTTACTTATAACTGTTTAGAAGCCAGGGAAGTCCCAGAAGAAATGTTAAAAAGATTTTGCAATGAGGAAGAGGGGGAAAAAATCAGGTCAAAAGTTGTGAACTGAAGCTTAAACCAACACAGAGGGTAATTTCTAGCATGAAATGTTTGACTTTCCAGAAGAACCCAAAGTCATCACACGTCAGCAATTGTAAGTGTGAAGAAGCAAAAAATAAATAAATAAATAAAAGACCAAATTAGATCCAAAGCAGACAACAGGAAATAATAGAACACCACACGCTATATTTATAGGGTATGAGAGGGTATAAATGAAAAGCAATGGAATGTGGAGTTTGTTTCAGATTATTCACTGCATTCGAAAATGCAGATTTTCTTTAGACTGATCACCAGTGAAAGTACTGAGAACAATGTGGAACAGACAATATGTACAAGGAAACTTAACTGTCCAATAAATGGGGCTTTCTAATGTTCCTTCTTCCCTGGGAGAATAGTTTATTTTAACTACTGCTTCATCAACTAGCTGTGTAACATTTAAAGCCGCTCACTTCCTCTGGGAAGTTACGTCTTCCAGACACTTTCCAGAAGACAAATTCTTGCCCCTTCTGTTGGCGGAACGGGAGAGTGGATTTTCCCCCGGGAGGATGTGGTGGCGGGGGGCTTCCGTGGCAGATCTGCCCCAGAGCCCAAGGAAACAGACACTCATGTGGTCCCTCTCTGCCCCTTCCCAGGCCGCTACATCCGCACCAACCTGAACATGCCCCTCAGCTTACCTCAGCGGAGTGGCGGCTTCCGGGACTACGAGAAGGATGCGCCCATCACTGTGTTTGGCTGCATGCAAGCGAGGCTCGTGGGTGAGTAGCCAGGAGCACGTGCCCAGCTTTTCCCAGATGTCAGTATTCCAAGAGTGCGGCCAGGCAGCATGATTATCACACTTCCCCCACGCAGGAGGGATTATGACTGGTGGCTTTATTCGAAGGGTCACCTGTAGTCCTCAAGCTTATATGATGGGGCCAGGCTGCGTTGGTGGGGCACACAGACTGACTCCTGGTAAGGCAGGCAGGAGATCAGATCAGGGCAGCTGAATATGGCTGAATCCTTTTTTTTTTTTTTTTTGGCTTTTTTGGGTTACACGCAGTGATGCTTAGGGGTTCCTCCTGGCTCTTCACTCAGGAATTACTCCTGGCAGTGCTCGGGGGACCCAGTGGGATGCCAGGAATTGAACCCAGGTCGGCCACGTGCAAGGCAAGCACTCTCCCTGCTGTAATAATCACTCTGGCCCCTGAATCTGTTCTTTACAGAACCTGATTCAAGCCTATGATAGACGGAGAGTAGGTCAGTTCTGGTCCATCCTTCATCACATGGGGGTCGGTCCCTTCGTACCAGGTACCCAGCTGGGTGTTTAGAACTCAAAACCCTACCCCAGGGACACTCACATACACGTGGCTGATGATCATATGGTGCCACACATGCAGGAAGAGAGCTCTGCAGAGCACCACAGACAAGAAGAGCTGCCCCGAGGTAGGAGCCAGCGGCAGAGAAGAGCAGGAGGGCGGGAAGAAACCGCCGAGTCAGAGCAGGAGCCCAGGGTGAGCAGTAGGGCAGGTTTCCCCCAAGAATCTGGCACCCCTGCTATGGGACTGGAGCTTCTGCAGCGGATCTCACGGGCACGTCCCGCCAGGTTGCCCCCGGTGCCTGCCAGTGGCAGCGGAGATTGTATTTACCACAGAAAAAAGATGGCCCCCAGGCACAGATCTCCCCCCACTTTCATCAGAGTGAAATCTCGACACTTGGACATCTTGGAAAGAGCAGAGAAGGAGACAGAAAGACAGGAAGGTTGGGGCAGGAGGGATAGGACAGCTTGGAGGGCATTTGCCTTACACATGGCGGACCCAGGTTTGATCCCTGGCATCCTATAGGGACCCAGAGCACTGCGAGATGTGATTCTTGAGTGCAGAGCCAGGAGGAACCTCCTGAGCATCACCCAAAAGCAAAATAAAAAAAGAAAAAGAGAAGAAAATGGAAAGAAGGAGCTGGAAAAATAGTACAGAGGTCGTGGCGTTTGCCTTGCACACATATGGTCCCCAAGCACCCCGAAAGTGGAAGAGAAAGAGAAAGACAGGACCGCCCCTGGGCAGTGGTTGAAAGAGTCACATACTTTAAGCTTCCACCAGAAAGCGGGGATGGGTTTGGTTCAGGGACCCCACCAGGTAGCGCTTGACCACCCAGCCAGTGGTTCGAAGGCCCCGGGATGCAGTTATTGCTTGGACCGTGCATTGCCTGAGAGACCCGGGCCACACTGCCAGTTCTGGGAGTCTCCATGGTGGCCCCCAGAGATGCTTAGGGCATCGTGAGGTGCTGGGACTTGAGCCCAGGTCGGGTGTGTGTCAGGTGTGCGCCCTCACCGCTGTCCTACGGAAGAGGTTTGCCGCGCGGCCTGGAGCCGAGCCATCTGGCTGAGTTCTGGCTCTGTCTTGCAGGTGAAGCCTTGCTGGAGAGCAACACCGTCATCGACCACGTCTACTGCTCCCCATCCCTGCGCTGCGTGCAAACAGCCAACAACATCCTGAAAGGTCAGAGGAACCCCGGGCCGGCACAGCGTCCCCCTCAGACAACCCCCCCTCAGCCAATGCAGAGCCCCTCATACAAGGGATGTTTATTTCACAAAGGTTCTTTGGGACAATGATGTCACCAGGGGGTCCCACGTGATCCCCCCAGCACTGGGAGGGAGACCATGAGCACGACTCAGCATTTCCCTGGGATGTGGCTATTCAGAGCATCACAGAGAGGAAAGTCATTTCCTCCTGCTCGGCACCTGGGTGTCCGATCGTGAGCTGGCCTACTTTCTCGGGATTCCTGGCAGCGGCCGGCTTCTTAAGACTCTCAGCCTTCCCCCTGAAACCCTGTGGGGGCTTGAGCTATGGGGATCTGCATTCTCACTTCCTTGGGAACTAGAAGCAGGTGTGGACTGTTTGCTGGACCACAGAGAGAGCTGAGTCACACCCCTTTGTTAACCTTGAGTCACATTGCGTGGATGCATGGACACGCATTTGACAGTACCTTCACCCGGGATTACCTTGGGCTGACGGGAGATTCTCTCCTCTAAGGGGCTGACGCAGTGATCCAGCGTCAGGCCTAGGGCATCGGTGCTTGTAAATATTCAGCATTTCCTGAAAGGGAAAATGAATCATTTACTTGCTGTTCCAATACTATGAAGGGCGGTGGAGGGGTAGTACAGCGGGTAGAGCGCTTGCCTTGCACGTCTCTGGCTCCCCCAAGCCCCAGCAGGAATGATCCCCGAGTACGGCCAGGTGTGGCCCCCAGACAAAATAAATGTGGAGGTGGAGGACAGTGTTATGTAGGTTAAGAGAATTTCCGACGTTCCTTTGTTAAATGGCCTTGGTTGGTTTAGGAGTTTAGAAAGAGGAATTCTAGGTGTCACGGACTATAGAAATGACATATGTGATGGCTTGTGGCTTTGCCCCTTATATCAGTTACCAGTTTAAGCCCACATAGATCCTAGCGGCCTGGCACCAGCAGTGACCTCTTATGCTCAGCCCACAAAACTGACAAACTCTTGTCCAAACCCACCTGCTTCTGTTGTCTTTGAGCCATTTCTACCGTCTGGCAGAGAGACTAAGACAAGAGCCGGGGATTTTGGTAACCACGGGGCCTTTCCTCATCCTCCATCTCTTCCACCTCTAAGGTTTACAACAAGAAAATCACTTGAAGATCAGAGTAGAGCCCGGCTTGTTTGAGTGGACAAAATGGGTGGCAGGGAACACGTTGCCGGCGTGGATACCTCCGTCAGAGTTAGCAGCGGCCAACCTAAGTGTGGACACAACCTACAGGTAAGCCACAGGGCCCAGGGGTACATGCTGTCAGGTGGGCAGAGAGCTGCAGTGTTCACGGAAACCCCTTGCCCCACCACCCCGTTTCTCACGTTCTCTTTTTTTTTTTTTTTTATTTTTTATTAGTGAGACACCATGAGGTACAGTTGTAGACTTAAAAATTTTTTGTGCTTGGGTTTCAATTATACAACGATCAAATACCGATCCCTCCACCAGTGTCCATTTCCCACCACCACGGATCCCAGTATCACGTTCTCTATTGCCTGGGTCAGTGAAACCACTTTGCACTCGCCTGTGCTCAGAGGTTCCTCAGGAGATGAGGGGAAGGTCTGGCACCTTCCCTCACCAGAGCCCTGTCCTTCACCTGGGGACTGGCCAGGTCTTCAGAAAGCAGCATTCAATAGGCCTGCCTCCAAGGGGGATAGAGGCGACCATCTTCTATGCACCGACAGTGAGCAATCTGCAGACCATCTATATGCCAACAGTAGAGAACTAACCAGCGATCCTTAATCACCCCAAATCCACCACAGCCAGGGAGATAGCTCAGAGGTGCTTGTGTAGGGGCCAATACTGAGCTGTGGCACTATGTGCCCCTTCCATACCCCCCCCAAATAAAACCATACACCCCGGTATCTGTAAAATGCATTTGAAGAGGGCACGGCGGTGAGGAATGATGTTCCAGTCTTTTTTATTGTTTTGCTTTTTGGGTCACATCCGACGATGCTTAGGGCTTACTCCAGGTTGTACTCAGGAGTCTCTCCTGGGGGTGCTCAGGGGACCATATGGCAGGCTGGGGATTGAACCCAGGTCAGCCGCATGCAAGGCAAACACCCTACCTGTTATACTATCAGTCTGGCCCCCATGTTCCAGTCTTTTCAGGGCAGAGTTTGGGACCAGTGATGAATGAAAGCATCACTTCCTGGTGATAACTATTCACCGTTCACTGCTGTGACCTGCCCAAACTTGAGGTGCGGGGGAAGGTCATTGTGAATGGCTAACATGGGAGGGAAGATCTTTGTCCCCGACTCATTTTCCTACTCTCCAACCAAGATTGTTGGTTAACCCCGTAAATTCATGTGTATTAAATTAATGTCTTGTCACTCCAGAGAAGAAGCATTCCTCAGAAATAAAGTGAAACCAATCAGTTCCTCTGTTGACACTGTACCTTTATGGAGGGGGAGAAAGGGGCTTTCCAAGGGGTGCTCAGAGGTTTCCTCCTCTGAAGCTTTCCAAAGGTTTCCTTGGAGCCTCACTTGTTTTTCCCTCCTCTCCCTTTCTTGGGAGATCGAAGTGTGGATTGGGGACTGGAGGGCACTGGCCTTGCATGCGGCTGACCCAGGTTTGATTTCTAGTACCCCACAGGGCCCCTTGAGCCCTGCCAGAATTGAACCCTGAACGCAGAGCCTGCAGAGAGCGTGGCCCCCAAAGGAAGCCCTGGAGAGCAGCATTTCTCAAAGGCTCAGCCCCGCCCTCTTGGGGGCAGGACCTGTTCTGAAACTCCACCCCATGTGATTCTCAGCATGCTGGGGGGTGGGAATGGGGAGTGGGTACTGGGACCATCCATTGATGCAAGGGGCAACTTCAGTGCCTGGAGCAAACTGGAGTCACTTTCATGCAAGGCATATACCTTAACCCCTGAACTACCTCTCTGCACCCCCCCCACCCCCCACACACTATTGTCCCATCCATGCCAGGGCCCCTGTTCTGTTCTTTGGGAAGAAACGCCACCCATAGACTGTCTCCATGACAACAGCCATTATATCTCTGGCCTGGAAAAGAGACCAAGTCTCTGTTGTCAGTGGGGAAACTGCCCAGCCCAGCCCGGGCCACGAGGTCTCCAGTTTCCTCCTGAGCAGGGCCTGCAGTTCTTCTCAAGTTGAATGACAGAGGTCACTGTAAGGGGCTCTCAGAGCCTTGCCATCCGCAGGCCAGCAGCAGTGCAAACCGGAAAAGAGATGCTGGGGACGTGGGGGTTTAGGACACAGTCCAGATTTCCTCAGCAGAAGATAAAAATTACAATTCAACCACTTTGTGTGTGAGAAGGAAAACAAGAGTAAACCCTTAATCCCTGACATCAGCACAACGGTAGAGCCGATGCCAGCTACGACCAATGGAGTTACAGACCCTCCAACCCAAGTGATGCCCAAAGAACAGGCATCTGGAAGCGAGGGGAAGTGCCCAGGGAGAGAAGGAGCACTGACAGGCTAGGATTCTCAGCAGCCAAGCCCGCCCTTGTCACCTTCCACAGCATGGAGGCAGGCCTGGAGCCAGTGCAGGGGGTCACAGGATCAGTGACTGATGTCCTGGGACAGCCCCGGGCCTTGCGAAGAAGTGCCCCCCCCCCCCCCCCCCCCCCCCCCCCCCCCCGCCCCACGCTGTTCAGAGCAAGGACGAGAAGACACATTCCTGTAGGACGGGGCTTCAGATCAGGCTCCGCCCCATGTGGGCGGGGCCAAGCCCTTGGAAATGCTGCTGTCCAGGGCTTCCTTTGGGGAAGGAAGGCTGACACCCACTGCAGGCTCTGCACTCAGGGTTCAATCCTGGCAGGGCTCAAGGGACCCTGTGGGGTGCTGGAAATCAAACCTGGGTCAGCTGCGTGCAAGGCCAGTGCCTTCCAGTCCCCAGTCCACACTTTGGTCTCCCGTGAAAGGGACAGGAGGGAAAAACGAGTGAGGCTGCAAGGAAACCTTTGGAAACAGTTTTGTCCTGTCTCAGAGATGTTGGTATAGCGCCAGAGTGAGAGGACAGTGGGTAGGGTGTTTGCCTGGCATGTGGCCCACCCAAGTTCGGTCCCTGGCATCCTATCTGGTCCCCTGAGCCCCACCAGGAGTAATTCCTGGGTGCAGAGCCAGGAGTAACCTCTGAACATTGCCAAGTGTAGCCCCAAAACCAAAAAGAAAAAAGGTGTTAAGAAAATTTATGCAGCAGTAAAGGGTAGGTGTTTGGCTTTCACTCCTTAGGGGGCTGTGGATTTCCTTAAGGTCAGTGAAGAAAAGAGAGGGACGTTCTCAGAGAAGCAAGCATTTAATAGAATACCTGGGAAACGCAAGGTGCAGAGCTTTGTGGGGTCATCTGCTATAAGAAATGGGTGTGGCCTCTAGGACGACCCCACTGATCAGGAACAACAGCTCTTGGCAGGAAGTGGACATAGATTGTGACCCAAAAACTGTAAAAATGAAAGAAAAAATAAAAAGCAACAACACACAGGGGCTGAAACAATAGTAGGAACAAAAGGTAGGGCGTGTGCCTTGCATACAATTGACCCAGATTCGATCCTTGGCATCCTGTATAGACCCCAAGCTCCCCCCGGAGTAATTCCTGAGTGCAGAGCCAGGAGTAAGCCCTGAGCACCGCCGGATGCGGCCCCCAAAGCAAATAAACCCATTCAGAGCTGACATGTTTAGGCATGGATATTGTTCCCACATGCTAAGAACGAAACAATCTTGGCATAAATCCTCAGAGTGAATCTTATACTGTGACCACTGCCAGGACTGAGCCCTGAGCACAGAGCCATGACTAAGCCCTGAGTACTGCTGGGTGTGCCCTCCTCCCCCACCAAAAAAAAAAAAAAAAGCAACAACACACCATAAAAAGCAAAAATTATTCAATAGGACACTGTAGCACTGTCCTCCCATTGTTCATCGATTTACTCGAGCGGGCCCAGTAACGTCTCCATCGTGAGACTTGTTGTTACTGTGTTTGACATGTTGAATACATCACGGGTAGCTTGCCAGGCTTTGCTCTGCGGGCGAGATATTCTCAGTAGCTTGCCGGGCTCTCTGAGAGTGGCGGAGGAATCGAACTCGGGTCAGTTGCGTGCAAGGCAAACGCCCTACCCGTGGTGCTATCGCTCCAGCCCTAACGAGTATATTTCTCCCCACGGGGACCCATAGGAGAAGATGGGGAGGCAGCTTGCCCTCAGTCCTTGCCAGTAGTCTTCTCTCAAGCAGATCTAACGGGAGATGGCAGTGCCCCGAGAGATTTCCTGGGGGAAGGGCAGTCAGCAGCGGCTGTGTGCCGGCAAGTGGTTGGCCAGACAGGTGTCAGCATGGTCCATGTCCAGGCTGTTACTTCTAGGAAGCACCTGGGAGGGCTGGGGTGGTGGGGGGCAGAACAGTGGGAAAGGGGGTTCCTAGGCTCACACAGGATGATCCTACACCTACTCCTACACCTACTCCATCACTTGCCTGTCTGCAAAGAGAAGGTTCTAGTCCAGTTCATACATCCCACAAGATGAGAGCAGGAAGACACCCACACACAGGCTGAGGGACAGACCAGACTCCTGTGCTGCTGCCCAAAAGTTCTCACGCCCCACTGGTACACAGCACACTGAGCCTGGAGACCCATCTAAAAATCCTCTGCCTATCAGAAGAAACAACTGCTAGATGAAGATTGCCTCTCTCAAACTAAGGAATAGATAAAAGGATTTGCAAAATCATATCTTATAAGGGGTTAATATCCCCAAACTACAACTATTTGGTGGTGAAAATGAGCAGAGGAAGTGGGGGGGGGGGGGTTCTGATCCTGGTGCTAAGGCCTCGCAGGGGAGCCGTCACCCTGAATCTGACCTCAGCATCCCCCAAATGTGGCCCTTCGGGTTTCCCACCAGGCCTCTATAAGACATGGGCCAAGTCGGTAATTTTCCAGGAGACAGCGCCACGCAAAGGTACTGGATGTCCCTTGCAGAGAAATTTCTCCTCAAAATCACCATGAGATTCTCACCTAAGACCTACTCTAATCAGAAAGATCAGATAGATGCTGGTGAGGTCTCAGTCCCTAAACCTCCACACGGTGGTAAACTAATAACAAATCTATGAAAAATAAAGCTGTAAGTGTTGTATGGGCTGGAGCAAAAGCACAGCGGTAGGGCGTTTGCCTTGCACGCAGCCAACATGGCCGACCCAAGTTCGATTCCTCTGCCCCTCCCAGAGACCCCAGCAAGCCACCGAGAGTATCTCGCCCGCACGGCAGAGCCTGGCAAGCTACCCGGGATGTATTCGATATGCCAAACACAGTTAACAACAAAGTCTCCAATGGAGACGTTACTGGACCTGCTTGAGCAAATTGATGAACAACGGGAGAACCGTGACCGTGACCGTGAAGTGTTGTATGAATATGGGAAGGAAACAAACAAACAAAACTAGAACTTCATCTAGTTCAGCAATTTTGCTTCCTGGTGTAGATGGCAAAAGAAATGGAAATGGGTCCCAAGAGTTGGATACACGTGATCTCACCTCTGTGTGGACTTTAAGGCATCTGAATCCTAGAAATGGTTGAAGGTGGTTCCCCGGGGCCAGGGATGGGGAAATATAACTATTGGTCAGAGGGTTAGTGAATCTCCAGTTAGAAAATCACTCAGTTCTGGGAACCCAGCAGGGTGGGTATAGTTCATTCTTCTATCTTTCCTACTCACTCTTGAATGTTTGTACCAAAAATGGAACCTCTGTGGCTTAAAGGAGGCACTCACTAGCATTATGGTGGTAATGTTTTACAGTATGTAAATCAAATCAGTGAGTTGGACACCTTAAAGATGAACAATGTTTTATATCGTTGATATCCCAATATAACAAAACATGTTGAAAAAACCTACCATTACTGCTTCCTTACTCTGTGTAAGACCTAGGAAATCACTGATCATCCAAGTAGGTCAGTGGTTTCCATCTCTGTTTTGCTTTCCAATGGCCATGATCCAGAACTGATGATCAGTAAGACTACGAATAAGTTCTTCTGCAGGTGAAAGATGCTCCAAGTGTTTTATTTTTCACCTGGTCACTTTGACACCATGCAGACACAAGTTTTCATTTCTATACATTTCAACTCTGCTTCTCCATGGAAGTACTTGGTCCTGTCCTTGCTGGGAATATGAATAAATAGAAATATAATAATATTAAGACATGTCTAAAAATTCAGTTTGAGTAATATCAATGGCTTTGTTTGGGAATCAAAATGGTTTTCATTTTTTTTCTTCATTTTTCTATTCCAGACCTCACATCCCAGTCAGTAAATTAGTGGTTTCAGAATCCTATGACACTTACATCAATAGAAGTTTCCAAGTAACGAAGGAAATAATAAGTGAATGTAAGAGTAAAGGTAGGTGTCTTGCTAGGGATTTCATATTTCAAGATGTGATTATTTCTACAAGATGGTAATTGGCTATCGAAGATGTCCCATTGGCCTTGGCAGACTTAACAGAAAGGTATATTTCCAGGGGCCAGAGCGATAGTATTGCGGGTAGATAGTTTGCCTTGTATGTGACCGACCTGGTTTGATCCCCAGCATCCCATATGGCCCCCACAAAATCTGACATGAATGATTTTTGAGTGCAGATCCAAAAGTGACCCTTGAGCACCAGTGGGTATGACTCCAAACCAACCAAACAAAAAAGTATTCCTAGGCTCTCTTTTAGAAACTTTTCTATTAAGTTAAAAGTAATATTCTCTGAGTACCTAAAATGCTGCAGATTCCATGGATATACACCAGACTTAGTTGACACACTCTGTCATTTCAGATTCTGCATTGCAACTCTTCATCTTCAGCTCTGTAAAGGAGGTTCCCTAGCAAAAGTTCCTGAAGTTCTTTAGCATAACAGTGTTTTGCCTATAATTTGCCTCAGGAACAAGTACACCAACATATGCTATTATTGCGAGCACTAACCTCCTTTCAGGTCTGTTTGCTCTAAGTGTAACAAAAATTGAACTCAAATACTTGTTGGTGTGTAGGAATGACTAAGATGTTTGGTGAAAAGGGCAGATTACAAGAGTATCCACAGGCCAATCCCCCTTTGGTCATTTCAAAAGCAATTCTAAGTAGCTTCACAAAGCAAAGACTGAAATTAAGTAACCAGTGTCTACAGTGGCTAGCATTGGTCAGCAGCTTTAAGGATGAGTTCCATCTTTCACCTGTCACTCATAAGCCATCTGCTTCATCACAACTCCCATACTTCCGGAAGGGCTAGCAGCCAGGAAGTCCCCAGTTCTCACAGTTCCTCTTGGAAACACTGAAAACTATATTTGGCTGAGTCGATAGACAGTTTTGCTTCTTGATAGTGGTGGTGCTTACAGAAAGCTCACACTGGGTAAACCTGCTGAAGTGTGAGTTGGCCGTGAGGCTGGTACCCAAGGTCATATTAAAACAGGAACTTACCTTTCTTTGCAAAAGGTTGGTTGAAGTGTGCTTGGGACCTCCCCTGTGTGTGTATGGTATACACATATGTCGACACAGAATGAATATTTATTTCCATACATCCATATTGTACAGCTTGTATATATAGACTAGTCCCCTTTCCACAGGGAAGATGTTCCACCGATGAATGCGTGAAGCCACAGATGGTACTGCAACCAATATAGCGTATACCTGCAGACCTCTAACAGTTGTTTATAAACCAGGTTCAGTAGGGGACTGACAGTAACATCTAATCACAAGAGAATATAATTGGAGTCACAATACACAACAATAAAAAATGAACATGGCCTTTCTCAGACTATCTCGTTGTACATTGTTTTGTTTTGTAGTTTGGAGCCATCCCCGGTGATACTCAGAGCTTACTCCTGGCTCTATTCTCAGGGATCTCTCCTGGCGTTGTTCAGGGGACCATAAGGAATGCAGAAATCAAAGCTGGGTCTAGATGCTGCGTGCAAGGGAAGTGTTCTATCGCTCTGGTCCCTCTTGTACATTTTTTAAAGTACTGTTGGCCACAACTTAGCGGAGTAAACTAAACTCAGATCAAACGGGACTGCTGTATACAGTATAGGTCTGTATCTGTTACCTGCTGCAAAACTCATGATTTTAGGATTAGAGGGTTGGGGAGTTGTTTTCAAAACAAAGCATTTATTACTTGGCTGAATTGCCTCCCTGCAAACACTCGCTCTCCCACAAAGCCGGGCTTTTCGTGCTTTCAGCGTACGTGTGACCTTTAGAGAAGGGTCTGCCCATCATCGCTCTCTCGGTCCCTTCCAGGAAGCAACATCCTGATTGTGGCTCACGCCTCTTCTCTGGAAGCCTGTACCTGCCAACTCCAGGGCCTCTCGCCTCAGAACTCCAAGGACTTTGTTCAGATGGTCCGAAAGGTAACTGGGACCCGCATTTTAGGGGCCTGGGAGGGGGTGGGGGAAGGGATGGGGGTGCTGGTGGTTTGGGGATGTTGGGTGACTGCCTGGGGGCTGGGTCCCGTTTGAAGGAGTGTTTCCTCGGAGCTGGGAAGATGCGTTTATCAACTGGCTCTGCTCAGACCTGGTGAGCGGTCTGGTTTGAAGGGCCCTTGATTCAGCCTGGGTGAGGAAAGAAGGTGGGAGCTAGTCTTGCTTTTTAAGAGCTAACATGGAGAGAGTCACTGTCCTCCCATTGTTCATCAGTTTGCTCGAGCGGGCCCAGTAACGTCTCCATTGGAGACTTTGTTGTTACTGTGTTTGGCATATTAAATACATCCCGGGTAGCTTGCCAGGCTCTGCCGTGTGGGCAAGATACTCTCGGTAGCTTGCCAAGCTCCCCGAGAGGGGCGGAGGAATCGAACTCGGGTCGGCCATGTTGGCTGCGTGCAAGGCAAATGCCCTACCGCTGTACTATCGCTCCAGCCCATGGAGAGAGTCACTGTAAGCAAACGGAGAGTGACAAGAGTCAGCAAATTGTCCCGGTCTTCCTGCAGGACCAGGGTCAGATAAAGAATGGGCTGAATCTCTGCCTCTGACAAATGCTCAGGCAGATGTTCAGTCATGGCGGAAGGAAGGAGGGGTTACACCGAGGCAGGGAGGCAGAGCCGTGAGTCAGGCTGAACCCCCAGGAGGCTGATGGACACATCTGGAGGGGTCTTCCTCCCTTCCTGTAGGGGGGCGCAGCCTGCGGGAGCCCTCCCTCCCACAGCTCCCTCCCACACACTTCCCTCCAGGCCCAGCTCTCAGCTTCCTCTGTCTGCCCCCAGGGAAGCCGGTACAAGCCAGTTGCAGTTCTTTCTCAATTTCTCAAAAGCTTTCTTATGAATGGTCCTTCCCCTTGCCAATAATTCCCACCCCAATGGGTAAACCACTGGAAGGCACAGATTTTTTGTTGATAGACACAATTCTGGACACATTCCATCCCCCCGACCCCCACCTCTCCCCACAAACACACACACACACACACACACACACACACACACACACACTACAGTTACTTGGAACTATCCTGATTACAGTTAATCTGAAACTATCTTCGCTACAGAAATTAGGGAGGTACAACTTCCCTTTAAGTGATAAACATGAACAAAGTAATAATAAAAAAAAAAGCAAGTAAGGTGAACCTTTTTCCCCCCCTTAACAGAATCCTCTTTCCCATGGCCCAGATAAAATTTCAGAAACGGCTGGGCTGCATTTTCTAACTTGCAGTTAGAACTACCTCTTAGCAACTTGGCCTTGGGTGCTATTTGTCCTCATTTCTCCCGCAATTCAGAAACCATCTATAAACAATGACTTAATTGCATTAGTGAACTCACCACTTTGGGAACCCTTCTGACAATTCTTTGGCCATGTAAATCCTCTTTCCTCTAAGCGGGCTTATTGGAGCCACTTTCACTTCCTTAGGGATGTCAGCCACGCCCCTATTCGGTTCCGAATATGACTGGTTCTCAGCGCACCTGATGGGGTTTTGTGTGCAGGGTACAGCACTCGACATTCACGTTAGAAAGCATTTGGGTTAAGCATTCCAGTTCAAGTTCAAGCATTCAAGTTCTCTCTCCTGTGTAAATCCGTAGATCCCCTACCTGGGATTTTGCTCCTGTGAAGAACGCGCAGAAAGTGGATTGTGGCAGCTGACAGACCCACCTATCCTTCCTCTTACCCACGGCCCGACGGGGGGCTTCAACTGGAGAGAGACTCTGCTCCAGGAGTAACGGTGCACGCGCCAGGAGACGGGTTGCCCGAAGCTGGCAGAGGAACAGTCTGAGCGTTTGTTTAGTAACAGCGGAAAAACTGGCACCACTTTTTAGCAGACAGCTCGGGATCATTTAGCATATTCCTACCTTGCTTTCAAGTGCTTATGAGGAGGAGCGTGCAGGAGAGGAGGACTCGGGGCAGGTGTAAGATTCATTCTGTAGGGGCTCTTGCCTGGCTGATGAGACTGGGGAGATCCATCGTCCTCCACAGCGTGCGCGCCCATCACGGAGGAGGTGACACCTTCCTTCTGTCGAGAGAGTCTGCCCGAAAGGAGCTTCTGAAAGAAAAGCTTCTCTCTAGAATCCAGCCAGGGTGGTACTGAGCCGGCCAGCTCGTGGCTGGGCTTCCTTTCACACGCCACGACGTTCTAATTAGGCCGAGGGAAACTGAGGGTTCCGGAAAGGCAGCTGGGAAGCAGGTCCTGCAGCGAACAGATGTGAGGTTCCGCCTGAAGGCCCACCCTCTCTGTCACCCCGCATCCCCGGGACTGTGGCCCCAAACCCTTTACCCTGGATCCACCACCTTTTCTCAGCCCATAGCTTTTGACTATAGCCCCCACCCCCACCCCCTTGCTTTTATCTGTGAAATGGGGAGACAAAGCACTTTTGCTTTCCAAGGCACTTTTAGATACTCAGGAGGAGACGAATTCAAATCTAGGAGCAAAGAATTTGCAGAACGCAAAAAGACTTGCAGCACTTGGAAACTGCCATGGTTTGTTGGTCTTTGCCCCACCCCTACCCTCTCCATCCCCGCCCGCATGGAGTCCAGACTGTTCCTCTGTGTGGAGATGGGACAGAGAAAAGGGGCTTGTGTTCAGATAGAATCCCGGTCAGCCAGAAGCTCAATTCTTGTGCAATATGGACATCTTCCAAGGGCCGGGTCATCATCCATGGCCATCCACCTCCACCACAGAGAACCTTCCCTGGCTCGCCAGGGAGTGTCAGAGAGGACGGTGACTTCAGGTACAGGTTTAAGTGATGACCCATCACGGCCGCACTGCTTACATTTTTACTGGTTTGCTTTTTCTATCATAATTTAAACTCGGGGAAATTTGAGAGTACCGCCTCCCAGGGCTTCTCATGGCACCTGCCTCTTGGATTTCGAGGGAGTCTATTTAAGGGGGTGGGGGGGGAAATAAATGACAATCAAACCCAAACATCCAGCGATCAATGTCTAATTTCATGGTGGGATTTGCCGTGCTGACCGCAGGCAGTGCCTGGAATGGCCCGGCTCCCTACACAGGCTGCGTGAGCAGAGCAAAACTCCAGCCCTCCCGCCCCTACACACCCTTCCAGGGGTCAGCACTGTAAGACGAAGCAGGGTACAGCCTCACAGCCTCACCCCCAGTCAGCTTCCAAGCCCAGATGCCTCAGCCATACGGCGGATAAAAATAGCTCTGTGCTCCGACTTGAAATTGGAATTTGATGATCCCTGAAAAGAGGAGGAAGTGAAAGGAAGTGGCTGTGTATGTTACTCCACTGATGAGGATGATGGCTAAAGGTTCTGCTTTTCCTTTAGTCACTTAGAGAAATATGTCATGAACAAATCCTGAATCTCTCCCGCCACTGCGCAGGGAAGGACCCGCCTTCGGGGTCTAGAAATAATGCTGTGCCGACATCTGGTGCAATGGCTCAAGGAGGCCGTGAACAGCCTTAAGAGTCACATCGGAACTGAGGTCCTGAATGTCCCCGCTGTTCATTCTTTTGTCTGTGATGAGGTGACTCCCCTCTTTGATTCGGTCTCTGGTGTTCAGCAGACACCACATACCTTTTCATGGGCTCTCAGTGCTTAAAACAATGGTGGGGCCTCACAACAGACATCCTGGGAAATTGGAGCACTGTGTTGTGGGCTTTTCTGTATAGAACAGGGCTCCGAAGACTTTGCTTCCCCCTCTCTGTTGCCTGAGTCCCACGATGGCTGAGATAGGTTCGATTTCTGGGCTCAGAGCCAGGCAGCCTTAGTCTATTGTTTACATGAGTCAAAGGAGGCAGAAATGAGAAATAAGGGTTTTTTGTTTTTAAATAATCCAGGTGAAACCCTCGAGTAAAAGGTATTTCTCTACTTTAGATATCCAGATCGATAACCTGATCTGATTTCACATTAAGGTCTCCTATCACATGAGCCTTTCAAGAAGTTAAACCTGGACTCCAGCTGAGAAACCCCTCTTTGGAAATCAGGTTTAGTTCATGTGGAATAAAAGAAATGACCGCATGACATGAGTCCCTATTTTCCCAAATGCAGGGCGGTGTTAGAATTTGAACTTGAGATTGATTCTTATTTATTTGAGGCTAATGTTCCATTAAGAACGAAAGTCTGAGGGAAGGAAGGAAGGAGGCAGGCAGGAAATGCCAGATGAGAAGAATTCACTGTGTCTTCTAGAGAGGATATTTTTTTCATCAAGAAGATTATCAGAAATAAACATGAAATTTACTCCAGGATTTTATCTGGACGGGAGGAAGCAGTTTGCTGCTTACACAACCATGCCATGTCCATCCGTTATCACCCTGGTATTATTCACAGATAGAACTTTGTTTTCGGTGATTTGAAAATGCCACATCTATCCCTCTGCGGATTGGAATAATTGATGCATTTTAATGCACACGCTGGAGGTCTCATTTGCTCAGGCTCTCTTTCTCCATCACTCCATTGGTAGCTAGGAGCTTATTGCTTTAGCCCAGTATGGAGTTCAGAAAACAGTGTTTTCCATTACATTTAGATTCATAGAATCTGAATGGCTGATTAAAAGGCCATCTGATGGCTGAAAGGAAGGGGGGGGCGACGGGGTGATTATTTTTCACGTAGCAAAAGGCCTGGCGGAGTTTCTACTTTTATTTGAATTATACTTTAACCAAAGAATTATTTGAAAGTAACCTTATATTTGAAAGATGATTTTGCAAAAAATAAAAAATAAAAACAAATGAAAAACCTCTCCTGGAGTGATGTCAGTTTTGATAAATCATTGTTAACCATGTTCTCGGGTTGGGGGTCCGTCCGATAGAGTAGCCCCTTCCCTGTCCGTGGTATTTGGAATGCATGTACGTGGTCATCCAGCTGTGTCCAGCATCCGTCATAACTGTATCCTCCCCCGCCCCCCAACTAGCTGTGTTCCAATTAAAAGAAAGTCTCTTCTTCTGATTGCCTAGTGTCATTGGGAACTAACGGAAGTGTTCCAGGAGCAGCAGGTCCTAGGGGTTTGCAGAAAGGGACCCTGTCGGCTGCAAAAGGAGGCGTCTCTGCAGAACCTAGGGTGCTTGTGCCAGCCCGCGCCAGCGTTGAATGGGAAGGCGCGGATGCACTGCCCTTTGAATCTTCACAGAGCGATGCACACGCTAGAATACAGATGAGGCTCCTTTAATTCCACGGCACAGTGTCCCTACCGGCTTCCCAGAGCTGAAGGGTGATTTGAATTTCAATTGTCGTGCTGCACACTAGTGAGAACTGGAGGGGACCAGCTGGTATGGGCGGCAGAGGAGGGGGGTGCAGAGGGAGCGCCCCTGAACATCTGTTTCTGCTGACGCCCCCTTGACAAAAGGCGAGGGAGATCTTTGGCAGGGCCTGGTATGGCTCTTCACGCTTCGCATCTAAGTTGGATTTGTTTCTCCATTTAGTGCTTCCTTCAACACTGAATTTTCCTAGGAAAGGGACTCGCTAGGATGGAAAATTCAAGGGCAGGTCCGTTCCGCGCTTGGGGTTTTGAAGTAAATGAAGCACCCAGTAGCGAAAGTCAATAAACCGTTTTCAGTGATGTCCCCTCGCCCCAAGCTGTCGGGACTAGACTTGGGAAACGTGGCATCTTGCAGCTGTTCCACAGTTCTTAGATTCACACAGGAACTAGATGTGGACCAGGAAGTGCCCTGGGTTCTGGTTCTTTTCTTGACATACACCCAAGACGAAGACACTGTCCAGAGCACTTCTTCATGCAGACAGTTCTCAACCTGCTCTTTGAAGAAATCTTTCTGACCATGAAGCCGTTGTGTCACTTCTTTTTTTTTTTCTTTTGTGATCTGGGAGTTGTATGTTTTTTTTTTCTTTTTGGGTCACACCCCAGCGATGCTCAGGGGTTACTCCTGTCTCTGTACTCAGGAATTACTCCTGGTGGTGCTCAGGGGACCACATGGGATTCAGGGGATTGAACCCATGTTGGCCGCGTGCAAGGCAAATGCCCTACCCTCTATACTATCACTCCGGCCCCATGATTCAGGAATTTTTATTTGAAGAAAGGGTCTAATGATTAAAGAGGGAGGAGGAGGAGGTCACAGCTGCTCTCCATATACTCTGGCCAAACCTCACCCCTGAGTGAAAGTTTTTCTGGACTACGCGGCTGCGAATGCGGTCATGGACACACCCTACCCATATTCCAAGAGTATCACACCACTTTTGATGGGATTCAAAGTAGGATGCCACCAACCTTAAATGGAAATATATTGTTTTGGTTCTGCTTTGGGGCAGGGATTGGGGTATGGGATAAAAAAACACCTGAGATACGGTTTTGGGAAGGTGTATGGTGGTGGGATTGGTGTTTGAATATTAAATGTAATCAAATATTGTGAAGTACTTTATAAAATAAAAATATTTTTTAAAAAGGAAGAGGAGGAGGAAGATAAAGAGGAATAAGTAGGAGAAAGAAGAAGGAGGAGGAGGTAGAGGAGAAAGAGGAGGAGGAGGAAGGAAGAAAGAAAAACTAAAACCCAGTCCTAAATTTCTTGGCATATTTCTCATCAAGGGCCTATGACATGGCCTGTGGGCACTTTCCTGGCATCTCTCCTGGCACGGCTCTGCCCAGAGAACAGAGTCCACTGGGTGCCGGCAGCATCTCCATGAAAGAGGCCAGAGAGGCGTCCACTGAGAGAAATTGTCATTGGTCCACAGCAATATTAACCCCCACGTGGACTCTGGTGGGTTTTCAGAGGAGCCTGTGGGCATCGTGACTCTGAGGCTTCTTACTCGGAGCACCTAGGGAGGTGGAGGGGCTGCTGCCGGTGGTTGGGGGTGGGGGTGCTCTGGGTTGCTCTGGGTGTTTCTAGTTCTCATGGTGAGAGGTATTTCCGGGCCAAGGGTAGTGCTTCCCAAACAGTCCTCAGGGGTCCAGGGGCCCTACCCAGCAGTACTCTGCCAAGCAGGACAGACAGTTCAGTGCTCAGGCCCCACCAGGTGGGAGGCATTAGGCCCGGGGGTCCTCCAGGGTCCCTAGTGCTCTGCCTGAGTTGGGAATCAACGAGGGATGTCTCATGCCCTCCCCCACAGCGGCCCTCCCAGCCCCCGCATCACTCAAAAGCAAGGGGGAAGTCACCCAGAAATGAGGCCCCAAGCCTGGAAACACTTCTGCAGCCTTCGGGTCAGCCGTGGTCATCACCCCCACTCAGCCTGAGGAGGCCCCCTGCAAACCGTTACCAAGAATTTGACGGAGGGCACAGATCCAACCCAAAGCACATCTTCAACGCCACAGTTCCCATTTCTGAACTAATGAGAGGTTGGGCGAATCGATTTTTAAAAATACACCGCACGTGCAGATGCGAGCACAGCTCGTGAATGCCAATTGCCTCCCCTCCCCCGAGTCCACTGGCAAGGCGCGCCTGCAGGGAAAACGCAACAGCTAATGCTCATTTCTCACCAAAGCTCTGCTCTGTTCGGCCGCGTCCTGGTCCTCAGCTGTTCCCTGCTGACTGCGTCCCAAGCTCCCTGTGCCCATTTGTGCTGGGTGTGAGGGCCGCCCGCACACCCAGAGCCAGCAAAGCCCATGTGCTCTGGGCTGCTTTACGCTGACACCAGCAAAACACTTTTTATTTTTAAGCTGAGAACCCCCACCCCAAAGTCAATCTTTCTTCTGAAGGAACAAAATACTTCGCTTCTTCCCAGATGAGCATGTGAAGCCCAGATGATAAGAGCTGGGCCCCCCAAAAAGATGTTCAAGGGTCTTCAGCCTGCAGGTTGCCATTGGGGTGGGGGGATCCCCAAAGTGCATGCATGGGGGACTGGAGAGAGAGTGAAGCCGGTAAGGGGCTTGCCTTGCACAAGGCTCACCCAGGTTGGATCCCCGCCATTCCATATGGTTCCATGAGCACTACCAGGAGTGATTCCTGAGCACAGAATCAGGAATAACCCCAGGTGTGGCCCTATCACTGTCACTGTCCTCCCGTTGTTCATCGATTTGCTTGAGTGGGCCCAGTAACATTGTGAGACTTGTTACTGTGCTTGGCATATCAAATACATCACGGGTAGCTTGCCAGGCTTTGCCGTGCGGGCGAGATACTCTTGGTAGCTTGCCGGGCTCTCCGAGAGGGGCGGAGAAATCAAACTCGGGTCGGTATGGCCCTAAAAACCAAAAAAAAAAATTTTTTTAATTAAGTGTATGTGTTCCTGGGGAAGAACCCCTCTACCTGAGAAGAAGCCCCAATTCCAAATCAGAGAGGGAGGTGAGGAGCAGGGAAGGGAGGGGGGGGAGGGGGAGGACCTTGACCCAGAGTCATACTCTAGGAAGTATTAGAACTGAGATTCAAGCCTGGTTCCAGGGGCTGGAGTGATAGCACAGCGGATAGGGCATTTGCCTTGCATGCAGACAACCTGGGTTCGATTCCCAGCATCCCATATGGTCCCCCGAGCGCCGCCAGGAGTAATTCCTGAGTTCAGAGCCAGGAGTAACCCCTGTGCATAGCCGGGTGTGACCCAAAAAGAAAAAAGAAGTCTGATTGCAGAACCAAACCAAGTGGGTGATAAAACAATTATAAGGAAAATATTGCCAACGCTGATGGGGGGAGGAGGAGGGAGGATGTAGGGGTGTGGGGTAGGGGTGTTGAGAAGGCTTAGATCCTTATAGGATCTCAGGACACAGCCCGACCCCAGCCCTGTCCTTCCGCTCTGCTCTGCACATGGAGACACCCAGGAGATGATGCTGGCCCTGCCCAGCCCCTCAGAAACAGGCTCTGCCTCTCCTTCGTGACTCCCAGCTGCCCTGGGCTGTGTCATCCACCCATTTTACAGCCAGAGAAATCCACACCTGAAGCTGACTCAGGCGGCTAGCAACAGGCTCAAGGCCTGGGGCCTACGTGGTCTCCACCTCCCCCCGAGGTGGCCGGCTTGGCCTGGCCACCCTGGGAACTCTTTCCCCTTCATCAGGACAAGGCCTCGTGCAGGCTAACCGTGAGCTCAGAGAAGCCAGGTCAGGTCTGAGACAGCCCTGCTGGGAAAGGCCACCCAGGCCGCCCCACCAGCTCTAAGCTTAGTCGCTGAGAAAGGTCAGGAGAAAGTGGAGGAAGGCCCTGTGGCGTGGTGACAAAACCCCAGGGCCAGGTCAGGGGCCGGAAACCCCCTCTCGTCTCTCTACCCAGCGTCACTGCGTCACTCTCTGTTGTGTCCCTTTTCACTGCACTTTCCTCCCTGCCAGCCTGGCTGGAGGTGATAGAGGAAGGTCAAGAGGAGGCTTATTTACCTCCACACCTCCTCAACTCCAGAGGCGGGGTGCTGCTGCACACCCACTTCACAGATGTGGAAACTGAGACTCTGGCTCCTGAGAGACGGGTCCAGAGCCCTCATTCCTGCTCCTGCCTCTTTGACTGGGGACCTGAGAGGGCCATCAGGAGTCTCCTCAGAGGGCAGGGGCCAGTGCAGACTGTCACTTGTGCTCTCGGTTTGAAAGGTGAACCAGACTTTTCCACAGAAAGAGCTGGAGGGGGCGAGAGGGGGCACGACCATGGCCGACGGGCCCCAGGCAGGAACAGCCTTGTACATGATGAGGAGTCTGGCCTGTGGCATCAAGGCAGGATGCTTTTGAACGGGAGCATATCTCGTGTGTGTGTGTGTGGGGGGGTGTATGTGTGTTGTGTATGGTGTGTGAGGTGTGTGGGGGTGTGTGGGGGGGAGTGTGGGGGGGTGTGGTGTATGGACTGTGAGGGGGCTATGGGGGGTGGATGTGTGTGTAGGGTGCGTGTCGTGTGTGTATGTTATGTGTGAGTGTGTGTGGAGGGTGTGGTTGTATGTGTGGTGCGTGTGTAGGGTGTGGGATGTGTGTATTTTGTGTGTGGGGTGTGTGCGTGTATAGTGTGTGTGCATGGTGTGTGGTTGTGTGTGTGGTCTGTGTGTGTGAGGTGTGGATGTATATGTGTGTTGTATGGATGTGTGTGGTGTGTGTGGCGTGTGTGTGATGTGTTTGTATGCTGTTTGTACATGTAATGTGTGTGGTATGTTGTCATATGTGTGTGGTGTGTGTATATGTGATGTGTGTATGGGGTGTGTGCATGTGGCATGTGTGGTCTGTGTGTGATGTGTGTATATGTGATGTGTGTGGTGTGTGTTGTATGTGTGTATATGTGATGTGTGTGGTGTGTGTTGTATGTGTGGTGTGTGTATATGTGATGTGTGTCGGGATGGGGGCGTAGTTGTGTGTGTGGTTGTATGTGGTGTGTGTAGTGTGGAGGGTGTAGGATGTGTGTTTTGTGTGTGGGGTGTGTGTATTTGTGATGTGTGTAGTGTGTGTGTATGTGATGTGTGTGTGGTATGCAGTGTGTGTGGTGTATGTGTATATGTGGGGGGTAAGGGGTGTGGTTGTGTGTGTGGTGTGTGTGTGATGTGTGTGGGATGTAGGATGTGTGTGTTTTGTGTGGGGTGTGTGTGTGTGTGGTATATGTGCATATATGTGTACTATGTGTGCATGGTGTGTGTGTGTGTGTGTGTTTAAGGGGGGTCACACCTAGCAATGCTCAGGGATTCCTCCTGGCTCTGCACTCAGGGGTCACCCCTAGTGAACTCGGGGGACCGTATGGGATGGCGAGGATCATGCCAGGCAAACGCCCTCCCTGCTGACCTCTTGCTCCAGCCCCTCGTGTGTTCCAGAAAAGCTGGAAAGGAGGAGTGGTCCGCATCTACACTCCACGACGCTCCCTCGAGGTCCCCCAGGAGCCACAGGAGAACAGCGTCCTGGGCCGTGCTCCTCTGCAGAGCTCAGGGGGTGCCGTTGGCCTGAGCCTTGCCACCTGCCCATGGCGGGGGCAAAGGACAAGGGTGGGGCCTTCTCCAGGCCCGGGCTGCTTTGGTGCAGAGCTGGGTGAGTTTTGTTTCAAACTGGTCTAACGTGAGAAGTCCCGTCACTGCAATCTCACTTGCTGCTTTTGCTTCTCTTGGGGGGAGGGGGGGAGGAGCGGGTAGGTTCTCCCAAGCAGTGCTCAGGGACCCGGGAGGTCACTCCTGGCAATACTCGGCCAGCCAGGCCAGAGGACTCAGTGCTCAGGCCTGGGAAAGCTGAGCTGGGGTCAAGCAAGCTCCTAGTGGTGCCCAGGGGACCATGGACAGAACTCGGGGCTTTATCCATACAGAGTCGTAATGCTCATGTCAGTCAGAATAAGTGCAGCTTCTTTCCTTTATAATTTTCCAAACACTGCACATTCACTTAAGTTTCCTACGCACATCTATTGGTATTTTGTTCTCTCCCTGGGAAAATGAAATAAAGATGTCTCAATTTTGCCAAGTATGAAAGAAAATTAAACATCAAAAGCATTTATCTGCACCCCCCCACACACACCACACACATACACAGTAGCTCGTGTTCTAAAAACAAGGAATTTGTTCTTCCAATCTGACCATTGGAATTTGTCTTTTCAATCTTAACAATGAAAGCAGCACATACTTTAGATATGAATAAAAGTGGAGATGAAAGACTGGGAGAAAGGAAGGAAGGTTGGTTGGTTTGTTAGGTGACTAGGTGGGTGGGTGGACAGACAAAGAGATGGACAGATGGGTAGTTTGGATGGGTGGGTGGGTGGATAAATAGATTTTCAGTGAGAAAATATGTGAATGAATGAATGAATGAATGCTGTTCCTGATAACACTTCGAAATGACTGCCAAAGAACTCTCAAATTTCCTCAAGGTTTCAGCCAATTGACTAACCCAAATTCTGATAAGCCTAAAAAGTAAAAGTCAGATGACGCCAAGGTGCAGAGACATTTTCAGTGCTCACCCACCCTTCCGAAAAGAAGCTACAGAGAGACCTCCACAGCCGGTTGACTTACTGATACCACCCACGTGTGGCAGAATGTGGCAGAGCCCCTCACGCCTCTCCCCCTCGGAGCTGACCTCTGTGGTCCGTGAAACATTCCGCCAGCAGGTTTTGGGGGCAGCAGTTCTGTGAGGGGGCTTCCAGAGAAGATGGAGGAGGTGAGACCCATGAGGTCACACGTTTATGCCTCTCCCCTCTTCAAAAGAAACCACTCAGCTTCACTTATTTCAGAACCGAGAGGAAGCAACAGCCTGTCACCACACAGAGCACAGCATGTGGTGGACGCTTTGCACTCTGCTGCTGGCTTGGTTCCCCTTACAAGGTAAGGACTTTGAGCTTGTGAATTCTGATGTTCAGGTGACCGAAGGTTTTGTCACTCTACCCAGCGGCCAGCTGCATTCACGGAAGACAACTCCACAGGTAACTTTTCTAGCCCTGCCCCGGAGACCCATCCAAGAGATGGATGTTCACCAAGACTGAGGGGAACTCGAGGTTAAAATGAATTCCTGCATTTACTTAACTCTTCTTTCCCAGTGCTCAAAGGTATGGGAAGAGTCCCTGAGTGTGTGTCTCCAGGAGATCAACGGGCTGGCAAACGGGGCGAATGTATTAAAGCTATTGATTAAGGCTATCCCCCTTGAAAGTACCCATTTTGGATTTCTAAAGCAACTTTGCTGTTCTAAGCCTTCACCAAGTCCCTGCATTTGAAGTGAAAAATGATAGCAGTGTTTGATCTTCGAAACTCCCTGGATTATCGTAGGGATAAAATTTCAAATCTGAAAGCGCTGGGAAGATGACAAAGTACCACAGACATCTTAATTCGTTGGGAGATAGTAATGAGTCCTGTGAAAATTCTGTGCCTATTTTACAGGGAAAAAAAATCCATTATGCTTTGCATTTTGTTCTTCCTTTTCAAATCTGCTGTTTGATGCTTAATCCTGATGTAGCATTACGGGAAATTCAAGCAAAACCTCTTTGAACCTGGGTTAAACTGGGTTAAACACTCAAGGCAGAGGCATACGTGTTCATACCCTCAGATGCAACTTGTATTAGATTCTTGGAAGGGAAACCTGCTATAAACATATTGCTTGCCTGCCTGTGTGAGTTTGCAAATATTGACTCTCGTTTCAGTTCAAAGAAAGCCCCCCGCCCTGATTCAGCACTGTCACAGGGCTGCAGCTGAAAGATGTTACTTTAAAAAAAAGAAGAATTTTCTGTTTTCACATAGAACTTTAATTTCCTATCTTATATGCTTCAATTGGGTCTTATGTTTTGGTCCTTGTACCTTAAGGAGCTTCACGGGAATTCAATTGTGGTAATAAATACTGTGTTTCTTTAATCAGGGCTTAAAGAATAGCAAGTACATTCAGTTGGGGGGGGGAGTTCATTGAGATAACTAAAGTGGGAAATTTTAATCTAACGTTTCTAAAAGGCATTAATTTTTTTCAAGTTCAAGTTACTGCCTCACAAAAAGCACCTCACTAAAATAATAGCTTCTTCTTATAAGAGATAACATATTTATATATTTTATATTTATTATTGTTACTGGTATTTGGCATATTGGGTACACCACGGGGAGTTTGCCAGACTCTGCCGTGTGGGCAGGTTACATTCGGTAGCCTGCCAGGTTGCCAAAGTAAGAATGTGAGGAATGTCCTTGAATATGGCACTCTTTAAAATCTCAGGGCTACGATGAAGGAGACGTTACTGGTGCCTGCTCGAGGCAATCGAAGAACAACAGGATAATCGTTATCGTGATATTTATTATTAAATATTTTATATTTATATGTATTTTTTGCTTTTGGGGTCACACCTGGCGACGCACAGGGGTTACTCCTGACTCTGCACTCAGGAGTCACTCCTGGCGGTGCTCAGGGGACCATATGGGATGCTGGGAATCGAACCCGAGTCGGCTGCGTGCAAGGCAAACGCCCTACCCGCTGTGCTATCTCTCCAGTCCATATATTTATATATTTTAAGGTTACACTGTTACCACATTGTGCCGTGCTGCCAAAGTGCCAATAATATCAGTTCTGAACTTTGGTTGGTTTCCATTTCCTTCGGCTGGCTTTTATTTCCTTCTTTACTTTTTGGTTGAGATATCATAATTTATAATAGCATCACTGTGCGTGTTTCAGGCACACAGTATTGCCATACTCACCACCAAAGTGCCGATCTTCTTAGCCACAGTCCCTGGGAACTTCGGTAGCAGCCCCCACCCCCACTTCAGACAGCCTGGCAGATTCCATTCTATAGGTATAATGTTAGTAGCCCGATTTTTAAAATCAGAACAGCAATAATCAGGTTTTCCGGTAGATCTAAGACCCATCATGTGTGTGTGTGTGTGTGTGTGTGTGTGTGTGTGTGTGTGTGTGTGCCCATCGTGTGTGTGTGTGTGTTAGTGGCATTTTTTAACTTTTTTATTGAATTGCTGAGATAGACCATTATAGAGCTGTTTGTGATTAGATTTCAGACATACAGAATCCCAACACCCATCCCTCCACCAGTGTACATTTCTCAGCACCAGTTTCCCTCCCATCACCCCACACCCCCCGCCCCTGCCTGCCTCTGTGGCAGGTGCTTTTCTTCTCTCTCTCTCTCTTTCTCTCTCTCTCTCTCTCCTTCTCTCTCTTTCTCTCTCTCTCTCCTTTTGGGCATTGTGGTTTGCAATATCGATACTGAAAGGTCATCAAGACTATTCCTTACCTGCTTTTAACCCACAGTTCTTGTCCAGCGTGATCATTCCCAGCTATTATTGTCATAGCGGGACCTAAGACCCATCTCAAGGATATAGTCCAATACTGTTTAGAGAGAGAGAGGAGATAAATACAGCCGCTGGTGCTTTTCATTACCTACCCACAAATCCTCGCAAAGAATCCGGGCTGGGAATCAGTAACCCTAACTGTTGGAGCGGGAAGCTGAGGTTTAAGGAAGCGAGACCGAGAAAGAAGAACAGCATAACCTTAAAATATATAAATATACTCTTGGAAACTCATATTATCTCTTATAAGAGGAAAATAGTATTTTTTGCGAGGTGTTTTTGTAAGGCAGTAACTTGAACCCGAAAAAGTTAATGTCCTTTAGAGACTTTAGATTTCAAAATTTCCCACTGTAGTTGTCTAAATGGGCTTTCCCCCCACTGGATATATTTGCTAATCTTTAAGCCACTGATTAAAGAAACTCACATATTTATTACCACAAATGAATCCCCGTGAAGCTCCTTAAGGTACAAGATAAGGCCCAATTCAGATCATGAATTTTGGCGACCGGGTGGCCTGGGCAAATTGCAGGTTGGGGGGTAGAGGGATTTATTTTTTATGTCAACACGTTTTTGTAACTACCTAAACTCTAATAAATGATAAGCTTCCCAAACTCATGGAAAAGAGGCATGAGCCCATCTGCCCGTCTCTTCACAGCTAAGAAATAGGGCCATAAACACCCTTCAATTAGAGAGTGAACATCGTGTTTAAAATAATCACGAGAGCCTCCCTAAAGTGGGTGCAGTGGGAGAAGGGTGGGCTTTGAAAGGACCGTCAGGGGCTTGAAGGCTGCAATTTCATTCCGCTTCCAAGACTCAGTGTTGAAACTCCCCAGTTTGAAAGTTGCCCCAAAGGACCTTCAAGGTATCTGGGCTCAGTGGAACGTGGTGATACCCCTCAGGACTGCAGAGCCCCAGAGGGAGAAGAGAGAGGCAGACTGGGCAGCTTTTGTGGTGGCAAAAAGGCAGCAGATCATGAATCTTGGTGATACTACCCAAAGTCAGCTGTTTCTAGAGAATTGAACAGTGGAGGGCCGGAGCGACAGTACAGAGGGTAGGACATTGGCTCTGCACGTTGCACCACATGTGGTCCCTCAAGCTCTGCCAGGAGTACAGGAGTGATCCCCTGAATAGCCAGGAATAAGCCCTGAGCACTGCTGGGGATGGCCCCCAAGCTATAATATCACTGTCACTGTCCTCCCGTTGTTCATCGATTTGTTCGAGTGGGCCCAGTAACATTGTGAGACTTGTTACTGTGTTAGGCATATCGAATACGTCACAAGTAGCTTGCCAGGCTTTGCCGTGTGGGCGGGATACTCTCGGTAGCTTGCCGGGCTCTCCAAGAGGGGCGGAGGAATTGAACTCAGGTCGACCATGTTGGCTGTGTGCAAGGCAAACGCCCTACCCACTGTGCTATCACTCCAGCCCAAACTATAAGAGTAACAATAATTAATAATAATAATTGAATGATTTTCACTTTCCCTTCTAATGAGCAACTTCTAGCGCTGTCAAAAGGCAAAATCCAGAATATTGGATTTCGTCCTCTTTTCTTTTTCTTCTTCTTGTTTTTAATTGAATCACCATGAGATACACAGTTACAAAGCTGTTCATGGTCAGGTTTCAGTATACAGTGTTCCAACACCCAGCTCTGCACCAGTGTACGTTTCCCACCACCAGTGTCCACAGTTTCCCTCCCTCACCCTCCTCCAGCCTGTCTCTATGGCAGACATTTTTCTTCTCTCTTTGTTTCTCTCTCTGTATTTCTCTCTCTCTTTCTCTCTTCTTTTGTTCTTTTTTCGCCCTCTTTTCAAGGGCCACTCATCATTGTGTATGTGTGATTTTCACTTGACTCTAGTCTTCTGTTATTCAGCAGAAGTTACCTAGCTAAGTTACCATGCCTATTAAAAATGTATTCCTGAATGGCTCTATGAACCAATTTTATTTAACTAATACCAAAACACTAAAAATGCTAGACCCTGGGAATGGACAGTGAATGAATGACAAACAACTTTTCCATGAGGCATTTTTAATCCCTCCACAGAGATATACTTGAAGCAAAGACTGTAATGTGCTAAGGCCCTCATGTAAGTGTATCCAAAGAGGGTCTTAAGGGGAAAATTGGTCATGGGGAGAGGAAGGAGGTTTTGCCAATGGTGCTGTGATCTGCCTTGTCTTGGAGAATACACGATATCCTGGGCCAAGAGGTCAGCATGGCACTTCCTGGGAACAGCAAGTGGCCATGGGCATGGAGCATCGACAGGTGATGCCCAAGGAGAGTAAGATTCCGACCTGGTTCCTGCAGGCACTGGGACCCATAGCAAAGTCCTGCAGAAGGACAAGACCTGATGACAGATACGTTTTTAAAATGGAACGCCAGGAGCAGAGGAGGAGGAGGAGGAGGAAAGAGAGGAAGAAGATCCGTGAAGAGCGTTTTTGACTGTGAGGACTCAAGTAAGGCAGCGATGCTGCTCAGAGCAGAGTGAACAGACTCGTGGGATCTTCTGGAGGAAGGAGCTTGCTGGACAACCTGGCCTGCTGTAGACCTGGCTGATGACCATTCCTACGAGGAGGCCCTGGGAGGGCGCAGGGGCGTACATCTATGGGCTTTTGGGGATGGGGGGGTGGACAATGGAGATGTCAAATTTGGGATTCCTGTAGGACTTGTTCTGCTTGGAGTTTTGTTTTTTTAACATAGTGCATGCATAATTGGGCATCTGAGGCAAGGAAAAAGAGAAATGCTTCCTTTAGATAAGCACTGACTTGAGGCCAAGGGAAAGAGTTCATTTGGGAGTGCCCTCCACCCCAACCCTAGCAGAAGCCCAGGCAGCTTTGTGGAGGCAGCTAGGACTATGCTTGCCCTTTTGCTTGGTTCCACATGCTCTAGTGTGAAGCCATCCCTCTGAGGTGACAGTCGTGTGCTCGTGGGCCATGGGGAGGAAATGACAGTGAAGGTCACGGGTCCCATCTATGCACCCATCACTCAACTAACATGACACAAGGCCCTGCACAGAGGGATGGATCCAGTCACAAGATAAGCATGGGACCAGGGGTCAGTGAGTCCCTCGATATGACTGTTAGGAGGAAAGGGTGACCTCCTGAGAAAGACACCCCAGCCCTGGGTGACGAAGTTCAGTAAGCTCAGCCTCTGAGAGCCACGCTGGGCTCTTTGGGGAACTAGAACTGTGAGGCTTGAGAGGTGAACGGACAAGCAAGGACTCGCACCAGGAAGGCGCAGAGTGATGAAGGGAACACCTCTTCAGGGCAGGAAGTGGTGAGCAAAGAAAGTACCCCACCCCCCCACCTTCCGACGAAGAAGGTGAAAGTTTGGCTTCAAGTGGAGGTGACCCCCCAAAAAAATCAAGTTAGAGTCTAGTTTCCAGGGACATGCAGAGGTGTATGAGGAAACTTTTCATCTGGAGATGTGTCATCTAGACGTAAGCAGAGCTCACTTCCTTTTCCACCCGTCGGTGTGACCAAAACATGCAGAACCGTCTTTGCAAGCCCGGTGGCCAAAGCAATGAGGTCTGTGGCTTCTTACGGGGGAAGGCTTCCATTCAAGTGTGAGTTCCTGTCTCAAAATCAAACACGGGGTGTTCACGATCACGCTGCAAGATAAACAGGTGTGTTGGTTCAAAGCAAGGCTTGGAGCAAAGGCGGTAGGAAACAACCGTTCTTCTCTTCTTAAGCTAAGCGCCCTCCATCTGAAACACAGGCTGTCTGCTGAATTCTTTTTTTTTTCTTTTTGGGTCACAGCTGGCGATACACAGGGGTTACTCCTGGCTCTGCACTCAGAAATTACTCCTGGCGGTGCTTGGGGGACCATATGAGATGCTGGGAACTGAACTCGGGTCGGCCGCATGCAAAGCAAACGCCCTACCCGCTGTGCTATCGCTCCAGCCCTGTCTGCTGAATCCCTAAATGGGAAAGCAAACATGAATCTTAAACACATATGGAAAAGCCAGGCCACATTTCACTACAATTTTGAATTAAGCAAGAACTAAGCGGTACTATTTAATTCAGGGGCTTGCATCCAAAGAAAAAGACTACTGTAGAGCTCCTTATCCCTCTTTTAAAAGGGAGGCCAGAGAGAGAGAGAGAGAGCACAGCAGGTAAGGCACTTGCTCTGCACGCGGCCGGCCCTGGTTCAATGCCCAGCATACGGTCCCCAGTGCACCGCCAGGAGTGATTCCTGAGTTGCAGAGTCAGGAGAAACCCTTGAGCCTCATCAGGTATGGCTCAAAAGCAAAGTTAAATCAAATTTTAAAAACAAAAGCGAAGCATTCATTCACAAAAACACTTGCAGATAAAAGCAGGTTTCCTAACTGAACAATTACCAGAATATGGCAAAGTTTCTAAGAGTTTTAACTCCAGGCCCTAAGGATGGAGTCCGGGGCCTGTTTGGGTGATGTGAGTCTTGATCTCGCATCATTCTAATGTCTAATGTCCCTCCTGTCTCTCCATACTCCTCAGAACAACAAAGGAGCTGAGGGATCTGCCCATTGCCTTGTCAGCTCTTTGTGGGAAGAGATATAATGCACTGTTATTAGTTAAGAATTAGAACGGAATAATTATGGAAGCAATGGAAGTTAGTTCTAGACTCAAATTCTTGGCTTGCAAGCTGCAGAGCTGAGCAGATACTCCAAATCATTTCAAAGCATCTCTGCTAACATTAGCCCTAATACCCAATTATGGGTGGATTTCATTGCCGAGAACATTTCCACATGACCCAGCATAAGCAGTGTTCTGGCCTCTGCCCGATGCTTTTGTGAAAATGGAATGTCTCTTTACTGACTCTCCTTGTTCATTATAATATTGGCTGATGAGTTGATTTTTTTTTCCATTAGAGCTCAGGCAAACTGTCTTCCCATGAAAGTCAATATGAACACAATGCAATAATTCCGCGCTATTATTGCTGGAGGCTGGAAAGACATTAATGACGTAGGAAAGGACACATTCAAAAGGCCACATCATTTAATTCTCAGAGCTCTCTCAAAGCACTTTTCTGACTACAGGAAATTCACCACAAGAAAATAAAGCGCCCCCTCTTTTATTTTTAAGGTTTAAGATGATGCGGTAAAATTCATTATGGCTTCTACTCATGATTTATCATGGAATTGCTCTGCATTTAGGGAACTGTTTTGTACTTTCATTGATAAGAATACTCTCTCGGGGGGGGGGGAGGATTATTTTTTTAATTTAAAATGGGAAAAAATGATAAAATGCAATAAAAATGCTAACTCAGCAGTGAAACCAACTTATTTTTCCAGCTCTTCTTGCAGGGGACCAACCGACAGCTCTTAGAACTAATTGTTTTGCATTCCGGGAGGAGTCTCATTGGGGACATGCCAATCTTGTGTTTGCCTGGAGAACGTTTAGCTAGAAGAGATCAGACACCATCTCCCTCCACACCCCATCCCAACAGGGCAGCAACTAAATTCACAGACGCACCCAAGTGACCCCTTGCTGAGGGACACCCAATTTGATTTGTCCTCAGGTACTTAGACCAACAGGTCTGAGTCTGTTGTCCAACCTCAGACCAGAGCTGCAGTTTCCAGGCATCTGGCAGCTGCGTCTGACCTAGAAAAAACACAAACTTGGGTCTAGAGGCTCAGACCTGGGTAACGATCCCACCTCAGGCCTTGAGCCTCTGCTTCTTCCTTTCCAGAGGCGCAAACCCGTTCTTCCTTCAGAGGGTCCCTGTTTAAGCAAAGGTGATGACAGATAAGGCCAGTGCCCAGAGCAGTGCTCCTCTGCCCCTCCTTCTCGAACCCCCTGTTCCCTCAGCCCCCCCCCCCCAACTCCCAGCCTCAGGCCTTACAGCCTTCAGGCTGCCCTAGGTCTGGGTTCTCTCAGAAAAGGGTGAGAAAGGGCCCCCGTGAATGAAGAGGCGAGTGCTGAGTCAAAGTCCCCGCCAGGCTGATGGGCCCTCTCTCTTTCCTCAGCAGAGGCCACCCTGGCTCAGCCCGCGGAGACCCTCAGTGTGGAGGAAGGCCAACCCCTGGAGCTGCACTGCATGGCCCCCCACAACACTTCCCTGCAGTGGCTCGCGCCCTCGGGCTTCACCATCTTCCTCAACGAGCACTCTGGTGAGTGAGCGCAATCGGCCCCAGGTTGGGGGGACTTTCCACGTGGGCCGGGGGAACATGAGTCACACCCAGCCCCCCTTGCTGTCCTGGGCACTCCCCGCTGGCCACAGGCCGCTCTCTGGACAGGAAGTCAGCCGTGGAAACCCCAGCAGAGGCAGTGGTGAAGGGACTCACTGCAAAGCCGCCTCACACACGCCCACCCCCAACCCCCTCATATCACCTTCTCAGCATGATGACAGATGGCAGGTGGGGGACCCAGCGGGGTCAAAGGGGCCCCAAAACAATGCTGCCACCCCTCTCTCTTTTTTAAAAAAAGGTTTTATTATTGAATCACTGTGAGATAGACCCTTACAAAGCTCTTCATGATTATGTTTCAGTCATACAGTGTTCCAACACCCATCCTTCCACCAGTGTACATTTCCCAGCACCAGTGTCCTCAGTTTCCCTCCCATCAACCCCCCCCCTTAGCCTTCCTCTATGGCAGGCATTATTTTCCCTCTCCTCTCCTCTCCTCTCCTCTCCTCTCCTCTCCTCTCCTCTCCTCTCCTCTCCTCTCCTCTCCTCTCCTCTCCTCTCCTCTCCTCTCCTCTCCTTTCCCCTCTCTTCACTCTATTTCTCCTTTCTCATCTCTTTTCTCTCTCTCTCTCTCTCTCTCTCTCTCTCTCGGCCTTGCATCAGCTTACTCTTGGCACAGTGCCCCACTTTTTGGCCCTCTTTCTGGGGGAGCAAAGTTCCCAGCCTCATAGCTTCTCTCCCTGCTGGTCTCATGACCAAGAAGGCGGAGCCATAGGAAAGGCAGGCCATGAAACAAACACACTTTTTTTCTTTGGGAATTTTTTGGTGGGGAGGATGAAGCCAAATCTTGAAGTTCTCAAGGCTCACTCCTGGCTCTGTTGTGTTCAGGTCTCACTCCTGGCTGTGCTTGGGGACCATATGTGGTGCTAGGGATTAAACTTGGCTCAACCACATGTAAGACAAGAGCCTTACCCCTATGGTCCCACAAACATATATTGAGTGTGTCCAAGGAAGAGAGTCTTACTAGATTCTTCCTTCTACAACGTTACAGAGATACAGTTGGTACGTAACACTGCCTTCAATGAAAGGCAAAAAACATCATGCTTGTGTTTATGCTGCAAAATGATCGCCACACTAAGTTGCTCAATATCCATCAGTTCATACAGATGAGTTCTGCTCTAGCAGAAACGGAATGTTTATTTTAGCTTCTTCACACCATAGACATCTCAGTAACAAAAGAAGGCCAGAGAGAAGCTTAACGCGCTAAGGGTATCCTTTGCCTAGGGGAGGTCTGGGTTTGACCCAGGCACCCTAGATAGTCCCTGGAAGGACTCTTGAGCACAGAGCCAGAGCAGCCCTGAACATGTCCAGGTGTGGCCCCCAAACAAGCAAAAGATAAAACAAACAAAAAAAATTAGAAAGGAGACATGGAGAAGGAGAGATGTAGACCGCAAATGGCCTCCCCTAGGAGCCCGGGTATGCTAAAGGCCCTGGGCCCTGACCTGGAACTCCCGGGCCAGCCGGGTACCAAGCATCGCCAGCTGGGGTTGGAACCTTCCAGTGCTTCTCTTTTTCTTTTGGTCATTGACCAACCACTTCAAAGAACTAAGCCATGATCTCTGGGAAGCATCAAATAATAATAATAAACTTTTAAATTTAAAAGCAAAAAGTTGGGGCTGAAGCGATAGCACAGCGGGTAGGGCGTTTGCCTTGCTCACAGCCGACCCGGGTTCGATTCCCACCATCCCATATGGTCCCCCGTGCACCACCAGGAGTAATTTCTGAGTGCATGAGCCAGGAGTGACCCCTGTGCATTGCCGGGTGTGACCCAAAAAGAAAAAAAAAAATAAAATGAAAGCAAAAAGTTGAAGGCTAAAGAGATAGTGTAGCAGGGAAGACACCTGCATCTCAGAGCAACTGAAAACCCCATATGGTCCCCCGCGCCCTGCCAGGAGTGATCCCTGAGCACAGAGCCAGGAGTCACCCCTGAGCACAGAGCCAGAGGGAAGAGACTCGGTGTGTGGCCCATACATAGAACAGAAGCTGGGGAGCTCTGCGATGGACACCTCCAGTTTGTGTGAGGCCCCCAGCTAGCCTCTGAGGCATCACACAACCTCAGACCCCTGCTTGCAGCACTGGTGGCTGGCCCCAATGCAGCACCACGCCTGAGCAAACAGTCAGGCCCAGGAGCTGAGCACCCTGGGGAGTGGGCCTGGGTTCCTTCCCTTCAACATGACTTTTAAAAATTTGTTTGTGGGGCTGGAGCAATAGCACAGTGGGTAGGGCATTTGCCTTGCACACAGCCTACCCAGGTTCAATTCCCAACATCCCATGTGGTCCCCCAAGCACCGTCAGGAGTAATTCCTGAGTGCAGAGTCAGGACTATCGCTGGGTGTGACCCAAAAAGCGAGAAAAAAAAATTATTTGTTTGTTTGGGGGCCACACCCACCAATGCTCAAAAGTTACTCCTGGCTCTGCTCTCAGGGATCAACTCCTGGTGGTGCTTGGGGGATTGAACCCTGGACAGCTACATGCAAGGCAAGCGCCCTCCCCATTATACTATTGCTCCAGCCCTTCATGGCTTTTTAACAGGGTCCCTCTCCAAATAAAAACCACCCCACAGGATCAATGAATATCAGTAATGTATCTGCCTTTCCCTACACCCCCCCCCTTTTTTTTTAATGAATCACTGTGAGATTTAGTTACAAGCTTTCATGTTTGAGTTTCAATCATACAATGATCAAACACCCATCCCTCCACCAGTGCACATTCTCCACCACCAATGTCCCCAGTATCCCTCCCGCCCCTTTTTAACTCTCCCCCTGCCTCCATGGCAGACAATTTCCCCCATACTCTCTACTTTGGGGCATTATGATTTGCAATACAGATACTGAGAGGTTATCATGTTTGGTCCTTCATCTACTTTCAGCACACATCTCCCGTCCTGGATGATTCCTCCAACCATCAGTGTCTTAGTGATCCCTTCTCTATTCCAGCTGCCTTCTCCCCCAGCTCATGAGGCAGGATTCCAACTATGGGGCAATGTTCCTGGCCCTTGTGTCTACTGTCCTTGGGTGTCAGTCTCATGTTACTTTATATTCCACAAATGAGTGCAGTCCTTCTATGTCTGTCCCTCTCTCTCTCTCTCTCTCTCTCTCTCTCTCTCTCTCTCTCTCTCTCATTTCACTTGGCATGATACTCTCCATGTCCATCCACTTATAAGCGAATTTCATGACTTCATCTCTCCCAACAACTTCATAGTATCCCATTTCCCCACACCCTTTGTGACAAGTGGATCTCAAACGAATCTCACCTCCAAGAATCATAGGAGAGCATTTTCCACAGTGCGGAAAAAAATGGTTTTGCCTCCTCCTCACCCCATTGCCTTCCCCAGAAGGTTCTTCTTTTCCATCAGGCACACTTAAGGTGCTCTCTGTGTCACACACTCCAGGACTAACAGGTTCCGGTCCTCAAACTAACATCCAGCACTCAAGAGACACTTCAGGCCACAGAAGGCAGCTCAAACAAAAGCACGGCTTTTTAAATTTAATTTAATTTTATTTGTTCTTTGACTTTTTGGGCCACATCCAATGATACTCAGGGGTTACTCCTGGCTCTGCACTCAGGAATTACTCCTGGTGGTGCTTGGGAGACCATATGGGATGCCAGGGATTGAATCTGGGTTGGCTGTGTGCAAGGCAAACGCCCTACCTGCTATGCTATCACTCCAGCCTGACATTTTCTTTTTTTTAAGTGTGGGGACCAAGGAGCTGGAGCAGCAGGACAGTGGGTAAGACACTTGCCTTGCACGTGACCAACCCGGGTTTGATCCCCAGTACCCCGCGCTCTCCCTGAGCCCCACCAGGAGCAATCCCTGAGCTAGAAATAAGCCCCAAGAAATGCAGGATGTGGCTCCCGAGACCCCAAACATTTCAACAATGAGGAAGCATGGAAACCAGAAGCTATTTCTGGGAGCCGCCCTGCCACAGCCCTCCCCGTGACATCTCTCTCCCTCCCGCCCAGCCCTACGGAGTCCCAAATACCAGCTTCTCCATCGCTCCCCCGGCCAGCTGTCTGTCCTCCTGCTGAACACGAGCCAGGAAGACGAAGGCGTGTACAGATGCCTGCAGTACGGCAGCTCCGTGAGAACCAAGGAAGTGCGAGTCGTCGTGCTGGGTAGGCCGCGGGCGTGGAATCAGGAATGTGGAAGCGCCTCCTGAGACGTCACCCCTAGAGCTTCGAAACTTTTGCCAATACCCGAGGCCTTTCCTGGGCGCTTGTCGGGTGTCTTTTGCTTTTGTGACAAGAAAGACCTTGGGTCAGGTGTGAAATTTGGGGCAATTCGGCCTCAAGAGAATTTTCTCTGTGGAGAACAGAAAGGGGAGTGAGTTCCTGTCTGGTGGCGTGAGACCCGCACACCGAGCACTGTGCTCTGGGGAATCAGGCCCCCGCCAGGGGGCCTTGGACCCGGATGTAGATGGAGCAGAACCTCACGCCAGCCCACCCCAACAAGAGACTGAATTCAGATGGCAACTGCGCTAGGCCGTGGGCCCTCCTGGAGCCAAACCAGGCAGTTTAGGTGTCGTACATACGAAGGAACAGCCTTCTGGTTGTGGGAGTTTGCTGTGTTTCATCAGTGGTCACTCATGTCCAGAGTCTTAGTACAGACCTTGCTCTTTGTGGCAGAACAGATCCACGGAAAACGTGGCTTCCTGTGGCTCTTTAACAAACTCACGTGAAGCCTTAGCTCCCCTGGTTAGATTGGTTTACTGTGTATCTGCCAGGAAGACACAGTGACAGTGAACCTCAAAAGCAGTGGCCCCTGGGTTTCTGAGCGCCTGGGGGATGGGGCTTGTCTTCCCCTACCCACAAAGACTCAGGCCAGTTAAAAACTGCTCAGGGCACTGCTCAGAGTCCTTGGGCACAGGCGCTGTCACACACTGACACTCTCCAGGAACTGCTCAGGGTCTGCTCTGCTTCCTTCCTTCTTTCTGACCTCTAAGGCCTCTTGTTTCCCTGGGCTGACGCTCCTGCGTCTGGCTGGTGCATGAGTTAACCAAGAGGGGACAGAGGCCCCTAGAGTGTCTGTGCAGCCCAGAAGAGGAAGAAGGCATCCTCGCTAGACACGAGTGTCCAGGCAGGAGAAGGAGGCGAAGGTGCCAGGGCCCTTTATGAGAGAAACGCTGCCACTGAGCTGGGAGGAGAGAAAAGTTTCAAGCACAGAATCAACTTCCAGGGGCTGGAGCGATAGTACAGCTGGTAGGGCGTTTGCCTTGCACACAGCCAACCCGGGTTCGATTCCCAGCATCCCATATGGTCCTCCGAGCACTGCCAGGAGTAATTCCTGAGTGCAGAGCCAGGAGTGACCCCTGTGCATCGCCGGGTGTGACCCAAAAAGAAAAAAAAAAAAGAATCGACTTCCAGGTCCCAGACAAAGGGTGGATGTGCTGACAGCTGACCACTGACCCTGATCCTTACGACCTGTCGGGGGGACTGAATTCGGGTCCCCCCAGCCTCACACAGGTTTCCAGCAATCCACACAGTCAGCAGTTGCTAGTTTCAGAACCACTTCCAGAACTGGGCCTGGGGGGAGGGGGGGGCGGTTCCAGAACTCATCCCACAAGGGGCAGGAGAGATCCGGGCATCAGCCAAATCTGTCTGTGCCTTTGGACCACACGAGGTCCAGGGCCACTCATGTCCATTCCCACACGTTGCTAGGTGCTCTGCTCTGCTGGGGCCCGTAGAGAACTAAGCACAGAAAAATTACTTTCCTTCCAGCAACACCTTCCCAGCCAGCCGTGGCAGCATCTGTGGTCAGCCTGCAGGACGGACAAGAGCATGTTGAGGTCACATGCTCCACTTCGAGAAGCAAGCCTCCTCCGAAGATCACCTGGCTCCTGGGGGCGGGCTTAGAGATCTATGGTGAGAGGTGACCCACCCTGCATTTTTTTGTTTTTCCGCCCTACATTTCTAATGGATTTCTAGATGTTCTGGTGCCCCCTGGTGGCAGGAAGGGCAGGATGCACCCTTCAACAAGTCCCGGATTCTCCTGACAAATTCTCAGTCCTAGCTAACCAAATTGTATCTCGATCTTGACAGGCTAACTGAAAATGATATGACTTTGTACTTTCCTTAAAGCAAAGTAGAAGTCTGAGATTGAATATCTACAGTGTCTTCTTAAAGTTCCACAAAATCTCAAAATAAAAGGTCCAATAGAGCTATTACTTAGGGCATGAATTATTTTTAAGCAGTTATTACAGTGAAAACACCTTTAACATAGTACATGCAAATAGAACAGGTAAGATCTCCTAAGATAGGGGCCAGAGAGATGGTACAGTGGGTAGGGCATTTGCCTTGCATGCAGCTGACCCAGGTTAGAACCCCACCAGGAATGATCCCTATGTGCAGAGCCAGGAGTAAGCCCTGAGCGCTGCTGGGTGGGACCCCAAACCAAACCAAAGCTTAAAGATCTTATTATACAGCAAAGTACTGTCCCACACCCCCAAGTACAGATACAAGCATTCTAGTAACAAGAATCTAAACTTCGAGCCTTTTGATGGAATCAAGAGAATTAATTGTCATGTTTGGAAACTACAGTTTTCAGTTTTCTATTTTAAAAGATATTAAATCTGATTCTATATCATCCTAAATTTCCTAGATCTGTAGATAACTCTTTATAGTTGAGGAAACTGGGGGGCCGATGGACTGCTAGAGAGAAAAGACCTAAAATCCAAGCTCTGAGCTGTTCAGTAGAGCAGTTCCACATCACGAAGGATGTCTATTTTATCTTAACTCATTTTGGTGCCAGTCTTGCAAAACCATTATAAGTTCTTATTCTTCTTTCAGTAGTGAAATAGTGAAGGGTTTGGGTTTTTTTTTTTTCAGTTGTAAAGCAGCTTCCTGTGACCAGGATGAACTGCACATAGAGAGGATGAGGGTGGGCTTCATAAGCAGTTCATGGAAGCTGTTGAGGCTGTGAGTCTTGGTGAGAACACATCTCCTCCAAATAGCAATAATCGCAGGAACTTCCTGAAATTGCTTCTTAGGCGAAACCCACCATGAATTGGACAGTGATGGGAAGAAATGGAACAGCACTAGCACGCTCCGAGTCCACACTCACGGCCGGACCGAGGTGGTGACTTGCGTTGTCCGACACCCAGGTCTTCAGGAAAGGACCCTGCTGGCCCCTTTCCCGTTTGAAGATTTGGGTAAGAGGAAAAAAAAAAAAACACTTGTCTTGACTCTTGTCAATTCGCCTTTCCAGTGTACCACCCAACAGAGTACAGTGGACTGGGCCAGGCCGAGTGAGGGGCCCATCTACCAAGCTATCCTGCCCGGAGGGACACTTCCCTCTTGGGACAGATGTTGGAAACTCTGTTGACTTTCCGGAGAGCCCAACATAGAGAGAGCCACGTGCCATAGTATCCTCAGTGCCCTTTGACAATGATGACTGATGTAACTTGCCTTTCAATGCCTCATTGCGGCCCTGCTCCTGGGGCAATCACGTGACATGCACCCTGCTTCGATGCTTGCCCAGGAAGAACCGGCATCAGCCGGTCTGAGTCACTGTCCCGTGGTGACCAGGGTCCGCTGGCGCGCATTTGGGACCCATAGCCGTCCCCTGTGGCTGATGGATGGAAGGACGGATCCACAGGCTGGTGACCTATTATTTATTCAAAATAAACAGGATTATCATAGAGAGATCGTGAAGGGCTGGGGGACAGCAGCCCAACAGAGGTGTGACTGAGCATAAACACAAGCATGAGCAGATGCAGAGCCCTTCCTTCAGGGAGATCCTTTTAGGAGACCTGCCCAAGGGTGGAATTCCATCTCAGGGCTCCAGCACGCTAGATTCCTTCTAGGAGATCCACCCAGGGGTGGAATTCTATCTAGGGCCATATTGCTTTCTCCTTTCCTTTACGGTAATCCATTTAAACTATCGTATTAAATTTACTTTTTAATAATAGCTCTAGTCATTTTGTATAAGCACAGTAAGAAATATAGACTCTTATGTATACCCTATATTAAGCTTAAAATGGTCTCTTTGGACTCATGGTAAAGAGTGGCTTTTCAATTTTTTTTTTCTCTTTTGGGTCACACCTGGCAATGCACAAAGGTTACTCCTGGCTCTGCACTCAGGAAGCACTCCTGGCGGTGCTCAGGGGACCATATGGGATGCCGGGAATTGAACCCAGGTAGGCTGTGTGCAAGGCAAACACCCTCCCCGCTGTGCTATTGCTCCAGCCCCCAAAGAGTGACTTTTCCTGAGCAAATTTCACTGTATTTCTCAGACTACAGTCCTCAGGCCAGGTTAGTCTTTCCTAACCCCAGCAGAACCCTTTTCAGTTACTTCTTTTTGGGACATGATAGAGTTTGTTCCATGACCATGCTCTTAATTTATGATACTTCTTATGGCCCTGAGGCTGTCCCATGTCGAAGCCAGAATAGCTTACGGCTTGGTGGGACCAACCTTTGGGGTGTAAGGAACTGAGGTCAATCTCAGGACAACTGAGGCTTAACTAAAGTAAATATGACAGATGCCAGAAGTAAATGTTTTTCAGAGTCAGTTAACTCCCATATTACAAAAGCAGAGCATTGACTGTCTTCCTGTGTCTATACAAGAAGGGGTCGTGCCAATACTCCAGCCTCCTCCCAGACCCTCCCAGCTGCAGGATTCAAAAGTATAAATGATTAAGAAATAAAATTTCAGGCGTTGGGGACATGGCTCAGCAGGAGGACATTTGCATTGCAATGTGAATGCTCTGGAGGAGGAAGAAAGGAAGGGAGGAAGGGGGGGAGGAAGGAAGGAAAAGAGGGATGGAGGGATGGAGGAAGAGAGGGAGGAAGGAGGGGAGGAAGGGAGGGAGGGAGGGAGGGAGGAAGGAAGGAAGGAAGGAAGGAAGGAAGGAAGGAAGGAAGGAAAAGAGGGATGGAGGAAGGAAGGAAGGGAGGGAGGGAGGGAAAGGAAGAAAGGAAAGAGAAAAGGAAAGTGAGGAAGAAAGGAGGAAGAGAGAGAAGGAAGTGGAGGAGGAAGGAAGGGAAAGGAAGTGAGGGGAAGGAAGGGAAAGGAAGGAAAAAGAGAAAGGGGAAGGAAGGAAGGAAGGAAGGAAGGAAGGAAGGAAGGAAGGAAGGAAGGAAAGACTTCAAAATCACAAGAAATTTACTCATTGTAGCTGTAAGGCACTCATGGCTTTCATCAAGACCTTAACCCACCTCTCAGCTATCAGTATCAATATCTGCCAGTTAATAGGAAGCTGCATGCCTTCTTGTTCCTGCCCTAGCGAGATCTAGCCCAAAGGCCACCCTGGAAAGAGTCCTGACCATTTTCTTCCCTCTGGTGACCGTTGGGGAAGCAGCACGCCTCACAGTAGCCAGCCTGGCGTCTTGCGAAACTCAAGTGGGCTTGTTATTGCCTTTTTATAAGGTGCGAGAGAGCAGAGTCGTCAGCCGCCGTTTCATAACATGGGAAAAAAATACAGCCCGAGAGACTGGGCCTCCTGCCCAGACAGACTCACTCCACACCAGGGTCAGCTCCACCCCTCTGAGGCTCACTGCAGAGCCACCCTCACCACTAAAAACTCGGCTGGGGGCCAAAGAGACGGGACAGCGGGGAGGGCACTGGGTTTGCACATGGCTGACCTGGGTTCGATCCCCAGCACCCCTGAGCCCTAAGTCTGCCAGGAGTGATTCCTGAGCGCAGATCCAGGAGGTACAGCCTAAGCACAGTTGGGTATGCCCCGCACGCGCCCCCCCCCCCCCCCAGACTAAAGCAAAGCAGGTAGCTCGGGGCATGAGTGGACAGCCAGACAGAGGGACTGATTGACATGTGGACCCACAGAACCCGTGAGCACCGGCTGCGCAGGGCGGGCAGGCTTGCTGTCCCTCGGCACCCAGGGGCTCAGCAGATGGCCCGTCAGCGGGACTCAGAGTCCAGAACCCAGAGCGTGGGCTGCCGAAGGCACGAAAGCTCCAAGCAGGAGCCCAGCCCACCCCACCTCTTCTCCTCAGCACAATGTGGCCGAAACTGCTCTCCATCATTGCCGAATTTTGCTTTTCCTCTTCCCTAGTGGCTGAAGAGGCATCGGGTGGCCCGGAGACAAGCCCCCTCTCCGAGACAGACTCTCCGCAGCCCACCGATCCTGGTAAGTGGCGCCAGACCATTACAGTGGTTTTGGAGTTTTTTTTTTTAACATAACTCCTTGAAAAGGTCACTTTTACAAATCTGAAATTAAAAAGTGGGGCTGAAGTGATAGTACAGTGGGTAGGACGTCTGCCTTGTGTGTAATCAACCCAGGTTCAATCCCCAGCATCCCATAAGGTCCCCGAAGCCTGCCAGGAGTGATTCTTGAGTGCAGAGCCAGGAGGAACCATTGAGCATCACTGGGTGTGACCCATAAAGCAAAAAAATAAATAAATAAAATTAAAAGTGGGGGGGCTTAACTGGTGGTGCTCAGAGATGGGAAATCACATGTGGGGTTTGATGCATGCAAAGTGGGGTTTGTTACATGCAAGGGGAGAGTTATAATCCCTATACTATCGCTCTGAGGCCCCCAATTCTAAACTTAATTTTTTTTCATTTTCATTTTTAATAAACCCTACAGGACCACCTTCCAATTGGCCCCAGCTTTTGGGGTGCCCCAAAAACAAACCATTTTAGGAATATTTATTTAGCAATAATATATGCCTTATAATTTCAGTGCTATTTTGCTACACACACACACACACACACACACCTGTGACATTTAAGTTTCTCTTGCTCAAAGGCAAGCTGGTGTTTATCGATGCGGAGACTAATTTCCTTTTTGGACCTGTCTAGAGCAGACCAGAGATAATAAAGATTTGGTATCAACAAGGAACAAAACAGCAGGACCAAAAGGGGGTTCTTGGTCCTCAGATGATGAGATCACCTCAGAGAAATGGCAGTTACTTTGTGGTCACAAACTCAGGTTTTGGTGGCAGGACTGAAACCTTAATGTGGCAGATACCAGAACAGTCTGAGTTAGAAGGCCTGTTTGCTAGGGAGCAAGCCTACAAATGGTTTACCCTGGGCAAGCATAAAAGGTTTACTTTATCTTTGGGCTTTGACCAGGAGGGTCTCGTCAGGTCCTCAGAAAAAGCAGGATGGATGAACGCATGCTATGGTGGTGTCCTGAGAAAAACATAAACTCCGACGTGTCCTTCCGGTCCCCGATAGTGTCTCTATAATCATTTCATTTAGGGGGGATGAATGCTTCCACTTTATTATCATGTTCACACTTCTGAGTATTCGATCACATTTAAAAAAAATTTTTTTAGCTTGAATAATATTGGAAAGTCAATGTTTGGGGTTTTGAAGGACCGCTACACAACACGCCACAATATGTACCAGGATTTTTGAAGAGCACTGGAAAATTGAAAATATTATGAAGTGGAACAGCCACATCACTTGCTTTAATAATCCAATATTTTCCAACGTGTTTAGAATCTAGTTGTGTTTAAATTGGCTTACACCACTGCTAAACAACTCAATTTGCTGCTCTGCTTTTTCATACTGAACATAAAGCTTAAGAAATACGGCTTCAAAGATTCCTTTCAGCTTTCAATTTCTCAGATTTTATTGCTCTTAACAAAATCGTTTTCGGCAGAATGGCTGGTTCCATTTCCCTCAGGGGCCACTTAGTGGCGCTGTGCAAAGGGCTTTTGAAAAACAAAAAACCAAAAAGCCGGGGTGTGGGGGGGAAACCGAAAATAGGATGGACGGACCCCAAAATTGGGAAAGACCTTTTATAATCTTACCAATTCTCTCTAGCAAACACTTCCAGCTCCTGAGAGTAGCTGAAGGACAGAGAATCTCCTTAGCAACATAAAAACTGCGGGGTCCTGCAGTGCAGGCGGTTGGAGATTTTCTGTCCGTAAAGCCCCGGGTGCCTTTGTTCAGCGGTGAGCTGTTTACTTTAAGAAAACCTAAGGGCCCTCTCGCTAAGAAGCAGCGGACAATTATGGCTCCCTTGGGAGTTCTGAGTGTCCATCTGGCTCTGCTGAGGGGGCTTTGCTGTCGGATGTCAGCGGGGTGATGACTTTCCGTCTCGCTTTGCTCAGAGCTGTGATAAGATCAGAGCAAATGCTCCCGGCCTGGAACCGGCCTTTGAAGGGATGAGTCCAAGTGAGCCAGGTCATTTGCAGCTGTTCTGGGGAGAAGTCAGTAGCTCCCAACTGGCCTCTGTGTTGGAGAGATGGTGCAGTGGGTAGGGTGCTTTCCCTTCGACCTTGCTGCCACCTAAGGCCCCCTGAGCACCGGCCCAGGAGTTAGTCCTGAGCGCTGCCAGCTGTGACCCTAAAACAAACCCCCAAAAGCTGATCCCCTGGTTATTGTTACAAATGAAAGAGCTTCCCTCAATTTGGTTTCCAAAGCTGCTTTGGGGTGACTGTGCGTCTCTGTCACGCTATGTAGACTCTCAGATGGATTTACAGTGCCTTTCTCCTCAGTGGCAGTAATGGAAGGTTCTAGTACGTCAGAGACTGACAAGGAGAAGAAAGAACAGACCACTCGGGATCCAGACCTCATCAATGGTACGTGTTCTCACCACATTCAGCTCAAACATGGGACTGTTCTCCTCAGACCGAGTCAGGCCAGTGGCTTTGTCAGGCCTCACTTTTCTTGATCTTTCTATTGGTTAATGACTTCCTTCAGCTGGACACCCAGTTTCCCTCTTCTGGCCAGTCCTCTGCGTCTATGACTCCCTCCCTACCTGACTTCTTACGTGCTCATAGTCTTCCATTACTATTTCTCCCTCTCTGGCTCTGATTCCTAACTAGTTCACCCATTTCCAAGACTACTCTTGGTGTCAACAGGCAGAAGAGTTCCATACCTGGGTTTCTAGAACATTCTCCTGAGCAGTGGTCCCTGTTTCATACCATTCCTCTCTCTACCTGCAGGCTCTGCCTTGCAGGTGTGGGTGAGGGCTTCACCTGGCAATGATTGGTGAGGAGGGGAGGGGAGACCATGTGGTGTTGGGGATCAAACCCAGGCCCACTGCATGCAAAGCATGGGATGGGTCCTCCAGGCCTTCTCCCGGGTCCTCTAGTTTATCTTTCCGTGTCTCACATTGGGCCAACCAGCCTAGCCAAGATGAACAAATTTTCATTCGTTTATGTTGTTTTTCAAACTCCTTACCAAGAGCCCTTCCTATTGAACTGGTCTTGGCTCATTTGAATCCTCGATCTAAGAGTTGACTGCTTTGTTCGCTCACTCTAGAAATGAAAAATAACAAGTTCCATCGCTCTGTGACTTAAAAAACCTTTTCAGATCATTGCCTGGAATCGCTCTGTTATTTGCTGGCCAGCCAGTTTGCTTTCAAAGAATAAAGAAGACCAATCTCTTTACCTTCAGGAAACTATTCTGCGTCCCTGCCTCCCTTTGGCTGAGCTGTTAGCTTGCAGTACATCTGGGGGTGGGGGCGGGGGTGTCATTGCTGTGTCTCCCAACCCCGCAAACGGCCTGACCGCCCTCCTTTCTTCTCATCCCAACAGCCATTCCTCAGTCTGCGGGGCTGGTGAGGAAGAAAAGCGGCATCCTGCTGCTCACGCTCGTCTCCTTCCTCATCCTCGTGCTCTTCATCATAGTCCAGCTCTTCATCATGAAGCTCCGGAAAGCGCATGTGGTCTGGAAGAAAGGTGAGCGGGCACAGAGGCTGGTGGGGGAAACTGAGGTGGCGTGCCTGATGGAGGCGCACGGCCTGCTTGTTACGCGGCATCACTCAAAGGAACCATTGTTTGTTTCGGAGCAGACACCAAACGTGCGTTTCCACGAAGTATAGCCAGGGGGGTATAACAGGAGAAAAGAGCAGTTCAGAGAATGACCACTAAGTCACAGAAGCTTCGGGGCACGGCTGACACGTGGCGGGGGAACACAGGTCTTGCATGTTTGAGACCCGAGGTTCCGTCTTCAGCACCAAATATACAGATGTACTGTCTACGGGGCATTTTAACAGATGTGATATACGAACACATTATCTATGCGTTACAGACCACGTGGTAAAGTACATACTATAGATGCTAGCTGTTACACCTGGGCCTCCATTCACAGGGAGACGCAAAGTGGTGACCTCACTCGCTCATTCATTCTTTCTTTTAATGAGCATCTTCTCTGTGCCACACAATGTGCCAGGGGTTGGGGGCACAGCAATCAAAGGTCCTCACTCTCCAGGAGCTCCAGTTCTGGGGACGGCCAATTAAAAGTCGAGGTAACAGGCTGCTTCAGTTCCGAGACAGCGTGCCCAGTCTCTCTCAGCAACCGTTTGTTTCTGGGATGAAAGATGCCTTTGAGACCGAACACGAGTTAAGACTCTGGCCTTGCATGCAGCCATCCCCAGCTCAATCCCTGGCACCGCATATGGTTCCTCGAGCCCTGGCAGGAGTGAGCCCTGAGCACAGAGGCACCAGAAAGCCCTGCGCACTGCCAGGTGTGGCCCAACCCCCGCCCAAAATAAATTAGTAAAATAAATCAGGTGCTCAAACTCAAGAGCAGAGCAGAAAGGGAACTTAGAAATGATTCAGAATAAACCTCTACTCTGCTCTTTCCAAAAATGTGTGCCACAGTTCAACGCCCTCTACTCATCGCTGCCCCGTGCTCCTCAATATGGTGGCCGCATACAGCCAGGGAGCACGTTAAATGTGGCTAGTCAGTCTGGACAAGACAGAGCCGAAGCAGTAGTCCCGCAGGTAGGGCACTTACTTGCCTTTCATGTGGTCAACCCAGATTCAATCCCTGCTCCTGCTCCCCTATGGCCCCTGAGCACTGCCTGAGCACAGAGACAGGAGTAAACACTGAATAGTGTCAGTATGGCCCCAAAACAAAAGTAGAAAGATACACAGTCAGTTTTTAAGATGCAATACACACATAAATGTGCAAACACACACATATGAGGATATCTGAGAATAATATCAGATCTATATGTTGAATAAAATGTGTTAATTTGGGGGTCAGAGAGGTCATACAGCAGGTAGGTGCTTGCCTCACTTGCCTTGCACGTAGCCAACCTGGGTTCAATCTTTGGCACACCATAGGGTCCCCCAATCACTGCCAGGAGTGATCCCTGAATGCAGAGCCAGGAGTAAGCCCTGAGCATCACTGGGTTTGGCCCTAAAACAAAACAAACAAAATGTGTGTGCACATGTGCTCGCACATACATACACACATCTATATATAACTTTCAACTTTCACCTGCATTTTTATAATGCTGCTACTAGAAAATTTAAAATTGTGTGTATGACTTGATGTCATGCCCTTTGACACCACTGACTTTTCCTGACAGAGAAACCATTCTGCCCCCAAACCAAATCCTGTACTTGGTACAGACTTGACCCTCCCAGAAGCACTTCTGTTAAACATCAGTCTTCCAAGATGCCCAGACAGATGGACATTCTCCAGCACCAGAGATACTGGGGCTGACACATCTGCTTTCCAGGAAGGACAAGCCTACACCAGGTGTTGCTGCGGAATCTGCCACTAACACCCCCCCCCCATCTCCCTCCCCTCCTGTGCTTAAAGGGCTTGTGAAATCTGCCCTTCCAAAGAGCCAGACTTGATTCCAACCTGCCATTACTGATCTCCAAAACTCACAGTGCCCCGTACAGCAGGAAAGAATCAGAGGAAAGAGAATAAAAAACAATTTGTGGAAGAAATGAGGACATGAGTACACACTTATGTGAAAACGGAAGCATCACCCTTCACATCTATATATTTTGTTTGTTTGGGGGGTTAAACCTGGCAATGCTTAGGACTTACTCCTGGCTCTGCACTCAGGAATTATTCCTGGGGGCACTTGGGGGACAATATGAGATGCCGGGGGTCGAACCCATGTTGGCGCCACACGCAAGGAAAACACCCTCCCCCTTGTACTGCACTCACTCTGACCCTGTATCATCTTTACTAAAAGGACATTTCCACCTAGACAGGCCTGTGGTAGAAGAAGTGAGTAACTTGAAATTCTTTCCTTGCAGAAAATGAAATTTCGGAATACACTTTAGAAAGTTACAGATCAAGGTCAAATAATGAAGAAACATCATCTCAAGAGAAAAATGGCCATAGTAAGTCAACTACGTGAATTGAGATTTGAAAGCGAGGGTCACCCACTTGGTGCCTGTAAGGATGTTTTGTGTGTTGGGGTGGGGGGGAGTGGAGAGCCACAGTAGGGCCAGAGAGACAGCACGGGGGTTCCAGGCACTTTCCATGCACCAAGTTTAATTCCCCAGTACGACACACAGTCCCTTGAGCCAGAGCCAGGAATGACCTCGGAGCACAGAGCTAAGAGGAAGCCCCAACTCTGCCAGATGCGGTCCCCAAACAAAGCCAAGGCCCCCAGCAGCCTGCAGGACTTCAGAACACACCTTCTAAAGCCAAGAGGTCCAGGCATGCCACAGAAGGGAGTTCCCTTTAGGAAACCATTCTTGGGTTCCACTGTCACATTCGCCCTGAAGGCTGCATCTCTCGTGTGTCCCATAAAAGCTTGACACCCCATGCCCATGCCTGACTGTCCTTCTGGCTGTGCTGGATGCTCATTTGCTCAATGCACACACCCAGGCCCAGGATGCACAAGGGGGCGTCCAGTCTTCCGATTGAGTAAGCGAATGCAAGGTCTGACTGGTCCAGAATGACTGCACTGTAATCCCCCCAGCAAAATATGTAAAGGAAATGGAAGCATCTTAAAGGAGATTGTGTGTGTGTGTGTGTGTGTGTGTGTGTGTGTGTGTGTGTGTGTTGCTTTTGCTCTATCTAGAGCTCATACGAGTTGAGGGACTTGCTGTACTTACAGTGGACACCAGCAGAACCACAAATGCCCCTTCAAACACCCCCAGGGGTCACCCCTGAGCACAGAGCCCAGAATAGCTTCTGAGTACCACTGAGTATGACCCCAAAAATGCTAACTATGAAACAGTAAAGTCTCTTGTGGGCTGGTGTGGTACTCAAAGGGCCGAGAGCATGATCTGTTGCAGAAGGTCCAAGTGTAAAACCTTGCACAGCTGTGGCTGCCTGAGCACTGAGCTGGGAGTAGCTCCTTAGCGCTGCTGGGTATGGTCCCCAAACACAGCCGCAACAAAAGAGATCCTCTGGGACCCTCTGCAGCCTTGGGGACTGACTATGTGTGCTTTGAATGGTCCCTCATCCCTTTTGTTTCTCTCAAGAAGATGCCATTTTATAGATAGCAATATTGTTTTGTTCAGCAAGCTATGTTATTTTCTTTTTTCTTTTCCTTTGCCATGTTATTTTATTTCAGAACTCTCCTCCCTATTTTATTCCAGGTTTGCAAGTTTCTTGTTTGGGTATCAAAATACTTGAAGAATTTGACTACAGCCTTGGACCCAGGCTACTTAAGTGCATGCGTGAATCTAGATTCAGTGTTTTAAGACACTGATAGGGGGACCTAAAACTAGCAATGGTCACGGTCACGGTCCTCCCGTTGTTCATTGATTTGCTCGAGCGGGTCCAGTAACGTCTCCATCGTGAGACTTCTTGTTACTGTGCTTGGCATATTGAATACGTCACGGGTAGCTTGCCAGCCTCGGTAGCTTAAAACTAGCAAAGTATCCCAAATAAATACAGCCAGGGAGAGGGATCCCTGGCACCGCATGACCCTGCCAGTACCTCCAGGCTGTGATCCCAGTGACATTCAAATGCCAGCAGCCATGATTCCACAATTAACAAACAACAACTGCAAAATACTCATTTTTTAAAATATATTTATTTATTTATTTATTTCTCTTTGCTTTTTGGGTCACACCCAGCAATGCACAGGGGTTACTCTTGGCTCTGCACTCAGGAATTACTCCTGGTGGTGCTTGGGGGACCATAAGGGATGCTGAGAATCGAACCCAGGTCAGCCACAAGCAGGCAAACACCCTACCCACTATGCTAGTGCTCCAGTTCCCTCATTTCTTTTTTTTTTTTTAAATTAAAGAGCCATGAATTACAAACTTACTGGGAGTTGCATTTTTGGCATACGATAATTCAACACCAATCCCTCCACCAGTGTCAATCTCCCTCCACCGGTGTTCCCAAATAACCTCCCCACCCCAACCCTCATTCACCCCTGCCTGTCATTGTGACAGGCACATTACAAAGTCCCAGCGATTGCCCCTTAGAGCTCCTAACATACTCATTTCTAAGGCGGTTTTCTTTCAGCTTCCCGCTCCAAGAGCTGCATGAGCTACTTCACACATTTATACTCAGAAGCAAGAACAAAGAGGAAAGAAAAGCATCCACAGTCAAGCTTCCGGCGGGAGCACGTCCCTCTGCCAGAAAGCATCGTGTAGAAAGGCCGCCTGGCACAGCCATTGCGAACCCTGGGGGGCATCTTCCGTGGGGGACTTTCTCTCACCGCAAGACAAAGGACTTGGGGCACCAGGCAAGTTGGGGTCCACCACTCCAGACCCATAGCTGCAAAATAAGGACAGAACAAGCCAGGACAAGAAAGCGGGATGGCTGTAGAGATGGAAAGATGATGGTCCATGCAAGGCCTGCTACATCCATCCACTGGGCATCGAGGTGTGTGCGCCCAGCTGACGTCTGCCTGGGGACAAAATCCTGGTGGCTAATGAAACTTCTTAAAACATCTTCATGGCCAGAGATTTGGCACAGAGGTTAAGGCACTGGCTTGACATCTCACGGACATCTTGGGGACTGACCATATGTATTTGGTCCTTGTCCGATGCGTGGTTCTCTGAGCACCTCTGGGGATCGTTTCTGAGTGGGTAACCAGGAATAGCCTCCGAGCACAACTCGGGATGACCACCAACATCCCCCCACACCCATCCCACACACAAGCAAAACTATCTTTGACCTTTACTTCTGGTCTCTAAATAAGAAACTGGGAAGAAAATGGAGCCATAGAGATAGAGTAGCAGGGAGAGCTCTTGCCTTGCGTGTGGCTGACCTGTGTTTGATCCCCGACATCCCATATGGTACCCCCCAAGCACTGCCAAGAGTGATCCTTGAGCATAGAGCCAGGAGTAAGCTCTGAGCACTGCTGAGTGTAGCCCCCAACCCCAAAGAGAAGACGGAAGCGAATGACCTAAAGGTATCAGTCCTTCGAGTGTGCCACAAAGGGGCCCCTTCAAGAATGTAGCCTTGTGAGCTGCTGGACCCCGGGCCTCCTGACCCAATGTTAGTTCAGTGTGGGCCTGGTGACTCCATTTTCCTATTTTTCTTGCTAAATCACAAAAACTGACCTGGTAGACAATTTTTTTTTTATCAGGATGCCGCATTCTAAAACCATGTACAAGAGAAAATAATGAATTGAATTCACTTGGTCGACTTCACAGATTTTTTTTAAATTATCTAATAAATAGGATAAAAAATATATTTTTTTCTTTTCTCTGTTGTTTCCCAGGCTGCACCTTCCTTTCACTTGATGTGTGAGAGTGATTCCCACATACATTGATTTGGGACATTTCTGTGTGGGTCTTTATAAACAAACTCTAAAGTAACAGTCTCTGTTCCATTGTATGGCAAAAAGCGGTAAATGTGTTCCTTGGGGTAGAAGCAACTGTGCTTTTTTTTTGCCTCAATTTTTTTCCAGAATCACAAATTGGGCCTGAGCAATATCCAGTGGTGAGGGTACATGGGCCAACCCAGGTTCCATGGAGTAGGGTAATGGGCACTGGAGCAGATAAAGCCTGACCTTGCAAAGTGGCCCTGAAGCAAAGCCTTTCAAAAGGGAGTAACTGGGCCAAGTTAGCAAAACAGGGTGTCAGCACCAGGTGTCCAGCCTTGAGCCTCACTCAACCTCCTAGTCACATATGCCAAAAATGCAGAAACTGTCACGTACACCTTTAGCAAGTCATCCGAACCACAACACCATGATGGGGATTGGACCGGGGCAAAAGCAGAGAAGAAAAGGCAATGGGCTAATAATGCTAAACTTTATGTGATCGGACCTTCCTGTAAGCTGAGACCCTCTGTAACAATGTGTGTATCTGGCAATAAAGTGAGCTGTGATCAGCTGCTCCCGGAGGGGTTTCTCCATGCACTCATCCTCCCTCACCCCACAGCCAGACTCCTGACCCAACCTGGTGCGCAACAAGCCCGGGCACCTTGGGGAAAACTTTCCCCAACAAGGTTCAACCCCCAGCATCTCATATAATCCCCAGAACCCAAGCAGGAGTAATTCCTGAGGGCAGAGTCAGGTATGCCCCTCACCCCCCCCCAAAAAATAAAAGAATCACAAAATTATGGCAGCCTGTAAAGATAAGACAAAGCACTTTCCCCCTAAACTTGCCAAGAGTAAACAGGCACAAGGCTGGATTTCCCAGGATATCTGCATGAATGTTTCAGACACACACTCTGCCAGAAGCACCAGAATCAGACAGACAGACAGACAGACAGACAGACAGACACACACACACACACACACACACACACACTCTTGCTCCACCACAGCCCTCAGCCCTGCTCAAGCTTCTCCAGCTGCCCAGAGTTCTGCAGGCTGCTGCCATATTTCTTGTATCTTGAAGGCCCCGTTTGGAAGGTTCCGGTCTCGTTACCTCACTGACTGCCTTCCCATCCCTCTCTTCTACTGCTCCCTCATGCTGGGACTTAGGATCTGCAGTCTCCTGACTGCTTGTGAGTTGGAAGATGTTGGCAGCAAGGTCCAGGAGAGCCGCATGCCCACCTCCCCCACACCGGGTGGCCCTGTGGTACCCTGCAGCCAACTCTACCTAATGAGCCTTCTGAGCCAGACCTTTGAGGGAGAGCTAAGTGAAAAGGATGCTTACATTTCTCTCAAATGAGCCCCCAAACACCCCACTAACCAAATGTCCCCAGCTCCAAACCTCAGCTGCCCCCTCTGTCATTAGGGAAAAATAACAGAGTGAAATTATAGCGCCCATCAGCCCAACGCACATCCACGAGCAATCACCCTTGCAGAAGAAGGGGTTTGAACCACAGATCACTCACGAGTCCACTAATTTAACCCAACGACATAATCTCCTGCCACTTCCCCTGGCTGAAGTCACGGCAATTTGCTGTGCTTATAATGGGGTTTTGATCTAGCACTTCTGTGTCCGTGCTCACCTTCCTCGGCGCACAGCCCTGGCTCCAGCCCACCACACAGGAGCAGACCCATCATCGACGCCAGACCCCCTGACATATGCTAATTTTCCTGCCTTTTCTGCTCTCGGCCTTATTTTCAGATAGAAGCAAAGCAAAACGGAGACAGTTGAACCTTCTTTAATGTTCTCTCCCAATGTCCCACAGTTTATTTTAAAAGTAACAGCAATGGGAGGGATGGGGGGTGGGAGGGATACTGGGATCAGTGGTGGTGGAGAATGGGCACTGGTGGAGGGATGGGTATTTGATCATTGTATAACTGAAACCCAAGCACAAAAATTTGTAAGTCTACAACTGTACCTCATGGTGTTTCACTAACAAAAATTTAAAAAATAATACTCAGAGGAATAAAGGTTTTAGAGAAGGTCTTGGCAAAAAAAATTAATAAAATAAAATAAAAGTAACAGCAATGGTGAGGAGGTCTAACTGTGGGAGTGCCATATCCTGCCGCTGAAAAGGAGACAGTCTGCAAGGTCGCTTGAAAGCCTTGCAGGCAGGCAGTTCCAGTATGGTCCTCAGAACCACATATGGTCCCCAGAGCTCTGCCAGGGGTGATCCCTGAGCACTACCAGTTCTACCCCAAAATCCAAGTATACATATAATATATTTACACACTGTAGCATTGTAGCACTGTCCTGTAGCACTGTCCTCCCGTTGTTCATTGATTTGTTAGAGCGGGCCCATAACGTCTCCATTTTGAGACTTCTTGTTACTGTGTTTGGCATATCGAATACGTCACGGGGAGCTTGCCAGGCTTTGCCGTGCGGGCAAGATACTCTGGGTAGCTTGCCGAGCTCTCTGAGAGGAGCTGAGGAATCGAACCTGGGTCGGTCGCGTGCAAGGCAAATACCCTATCCGCTGTGCTATCGCTCCAGCCCCATACACTCCGGATTCTATCTCTCATTTGAGTGAATCGTGATATTCCAAGCATAGTTCTTTCGATTCCTCTTTGAGAGACCCGAATAATATATATAATATAATATAATATAATAATATATAATATATAATATATAATAATATATAATATAATATATAATATATATAATAATATAATAATAATATAATAATAATATAATAATATCCGAATAATGCAGGATAAAGTATATAATTATGTTACCATCACCAGAACCAAGGTTTTCAGTATGAAAGAGCTATAAACATAAAGTGAAAACCTTGCATCCTTAAATTTGAATTGGAAACAAATGCATACACTCAGAATGTAATTTCCTCTTGAACAAAAGAATCAAAAAGTGCGGGGGGCCCGCAAAACCACTCTCCGGCCCACGGAGGTGGCCCTAGGATCCGTAGGTGCAGGGAAGGACCGACAGAATGAACACAAGACACAAGAGACAGAATGCAGTTCAGAAAGAGAGAGAAAAAGGGACAGACTTTATTGGGGGCAATCAGGGTATATATCCATTAGTGAGGCAGCTACACAAAAGGTTGTGCCCATATATGGTTAGGAAGGTTTGTTTTCACATATCAAGCATAAAGTTTATGCATATCTTGTACCAGACACGAGGTAGTTACACAAAGGGCCATGTCCATATGATTTGTAAAATTTACATGCATCACGTACCAGACACAAGATAGTTACTTCTTGTTATTACTGACAACCATGACAGATGTTCTCTCAGGATAACCATACATCAAGATAACCATACATAGCACTGGCTTTGCCTGTTGCGGGGTCACATAGGTCAAGATGACCATACCTAGCACAGGCACTTAGGCCTTGGTCAGTTAAAGGGCCATTTTCCCACAAAAAAGTATCCTCTGTCAGTTCCTTTAAAGACAGTCACCATTCCAGGAGCAGTGCGTGACCTGATATTGAGACCTCTGGTGTCTAGAATTATCACAAAAATGAACCACATTTCCTTGAAGAAAGAGCTAATTCCATGTTGGTTCGAGAAATGTATAAGATAAGCCTTGGACACTTTAGACTAGGGAGCAAGCATCTTCTCACAGGCACTCACACAGGGTTGAGTAACATAGAAACTGGCCTGTTAAAGCTTTTTGTAAACTTCCACTGGCCCAAAGTAGAACAATTTGAGTACCAAATAATAATAGTAATAATAATAATAATAAATTTAAATTTCAATGTATTAAATAAATTAAAAATCATGAGTTCATGATAATTTTTAAAAATTTATTGATTGGGGCCAGAGCAATAGTACAGAGGGTGGGCACTCGCCTTGCATGCTGCCAACCCGGGTTCAATCCCCAACATCCTTTATTGTCCCCTGAACAATGCCAGGAGTAATTCCTGAGTGCAGAGCCAGGAGTGACTCCTGAGCACCTGCAGGTGTGGGCCCCAAACCAAAACAAACAAACAAAAAATTTCATTGATTATCTCTACCATAGTAAATACATTAAGTACATTAAATACATTAAAATTCACAAATGTGTCCTTTGAAGACTCTCTCAGAGTTTGCTCAGGCACCAACTTGGGAATCTGCAATTTAAAGAGTTGCATCACGAAAGTCCGGTGTAAGAAAAATGACCATTCATGCATAAGAATATTGATGCTCAGCGCCCGCAATCACTGAAGAAATGAAATCCATCAAAACCATGCTGAGAGGGGCGGAGAGAGAGGGGTGAAGGCGTTTGCAGTTCCATCCCCAGCACCGCAGAGGGTCCCCTGAGCAGCGCCGGGGGCTGGCACACAGAGTCTGGTCGGATAGAAAGTCACACCCATAGGACCACCGTGATTGAAAAGGATGGATGATGAGATGCGCATCGTGTCCCGCCCCCCCCCATCCCCCCCATCCCCCCCCCCCCACCCCCCCCCCGCGCTGGGGCTGGAGACTCACCTGGGCGCGGCCTCCCGCCCACCTGCAGGAGGGCCTTTGCGCCGGTCGCCAGCAGGGGGCGCTGCGAGCGCTGCGCCTCGGGGTGGGTGTCCGCGCCCGGGGACCCCAGCGCCCTGCAGAAGGCATGCCCTGTCCTTCTCGCTCCTTTGCCCTTTGGACTTTAGGCACCTGGTTGCGGAGGGTGGGGGGGATTTGCTGCAGACAGTTCGGGAAAGCCGGGGGGTGCTGCACGAGCTCCCGGGGTCCCCGGGCGCGGCCTCCCGCCCTGCAGGCCCGGCCCCGCCCTCGCCACCGTCGCCGGGGACGCGGGTCTCCAGGGCAGCGCCGGGCACGCCGGGCACGCCGGGCGGAGGCGGCCGAGCGGGCACGAGGATGCGGGCGGCGGGGGTCGCGCCCAGGATCGCGCGCAGGTGACGGGCGGGCGGTTGCGGGTGCAACGGGGTGGGGGAGGGCCGGGCAGGGGTGGGGGCCGCGGTGGAGCAGGACCCCCCTGGGGAATGCAAGGGCCCCCTGCAGGGCCGGCCTTTGCCCGACTGAGGTCCAGTACCCCCGATCCGCCGGGTCTCTGCCTGGAGACCGGATCTGGGCCATGGAAGAGAGAGAGAAACCCTGCGGGGGTCCCATCAGGCCTGGCCCCCCTAGGGCGACTTTCCTCCACCCTTCACGCAGTAGCCTGGCACCTAGAGAGGGAAATTCCTTTCTCCCGGAACTAGAGGAGAGACCCCGGTTGGGGTAGGTGGGGAGGGACCCCTGGGAACGGGCCTTTGTTGGTGCCAAGATGCTCCTGAAGTCCCCAAATGACTTAGTTACTTTAGATTTACCAGCTGCTTCTTCCAGTTAAAATCCGGGAGCCACGGGAACCACATTCATTGCTTTCACCTTCAACGGTACACCCCACTTTCTCATTTTCCCAGAGGTCAGTCCCTCACCCGAGGCACCGGACTTGCGGAGCTTGGCTTGGTTATCTTCCCTAAACAACCTCCTAAATGCCAAGAAACGGTTAGTAAAATCATTGTCTCAGGGACATTGCTTTTCCATTCATTAAGTGCTCCCCCTACACACACACACACACCACACACTCTCTCTCTCTTTCATTCAGAGACACATTGCAAAACAATGAGAGATTTTAACTTTTTTTTTTCTTTTTAGATCCCAAATACTGGGACTTGACCTCTTTACCACAAAGCCAGCATTTTAAGATAGTTTCTGTTAAAATGTATGAGCACTGGACGAATTTGTTGCCTTCTAAAATTACCGGAAAGCTGCAGTCTGCTTATCAGCCGTAAAATAATAAAATAGAATGCAGCCTGTGTTTTTATAAAAAGAAACCAAATCCGGGGGGTGGGGGGTGGGGGGGCGAGGAAGTCTGTTCGTGTGCACAAGGCTGGTCTTGGCAGGTGCTCGGAGTTAAAACGAAAAGCCTGCCGGGTGCCTTTCAGCTCCCTTTGGCCTGTTTTGTTTGTGAAGGTGCTTCCCTCTGAGGAGTTGAGGCAGTTCCTTGGAAACTGGCAACAAGGCCGACGTTATTAGCAGGTCTCGGAGTGGGCTGCAGCAGCTCGATTCAATCGAAGTTAGGATTCGCTAGAGAAGGAAGCAGAAAAGCCCATTCACACAGATTTCCCCGTCATCCCTGAAGCGAAAGATTTCTGTTATCTGACCCAGAAACCAACAAGGCAGTGAGATAAAGACGGCAAAATTGAAGCGCTAGAGATGAAAGGAAGCAATTCAAAACAAACGAAACCCCCACCCCATCTCCTTTCAATTCTGCACTGGCCTGGCCCCCTCCCCAGAAAGCACCTTACCCCAGGGTCTTCACTGCAGCCTTTGGGCTGGGAGAAACCCAAGATGTTCAGACATGTACCTGGACCCCCAACACCTCCTGCCCCCGAAACACACACACCACTGCCTCTCTTTCCGAAGGTGAATAACTTCAAGTCTCTCTACTGAATTGTTTTTATCATTATTACCTTTCTAAAAATTAGCTGAGTGGCCAGAGTGATAGTACAGCGGGGAGGGCATTTGCCTTGCAAGCAGTCGACCTGGGTTTGATCCTTGGCATCCCATAGGGTCCCCTGAGCACCACCAGGAGTAATTCCTGAGTGCAGAGCCAGGAGGAACCCCTGAGCATTGTTGGGTGTGACCCCAAAAGAGGGGGGAAAAAAGCTGACATTGGTTTTCACAGCCCATTTAAATCACACCAGGCCCCCATAGTAGTCACAGCTGACAGTAGCTAAACTGTCTCCCTTTTTATACTTTCAACACTCGAAACTATTCTCTCCCCTTCTTCTCTCCTTTACTTTTCAAAAGTAAGTCCTTCCCCACCCATCCCCCAGATACCTGCCCCAAACCTGTCTTGCCCACAGATTGGTCTCTGGTATTTGCAGCCAAGCCTTTGAGCAGGGCCATAACGAACCATTTGGCTTTGTCGGAGATCCTCTGCTGTAGGCGTTGGAGGCTAGAAAAAGGAATGTGTTTCCAAGCCGCCATTTCAGTTCCTCAATAAAGCTGCATTTCCTCACTCAGCCTGGTTATAAGCTCTGCAACAACCAGTTTCTAGGGAGAGAAAAATAACCCTCTCTCTCCCATCCACCTTCCCTCCCGCACAAGACGACAGAAGGTGTGTGCTAAAGCCTGCAGACAATGTCATAAGGTTTGGGGTTTTGAATTTTTGGTTTCTATTTTTATAACACAGCTGAATTTTTCCCTGACACTGGAACCAAAGTCGCAGAGTAACATAAATATCATTTTTCCAGGTGATGCTTCTGGGAGGTGCGGCCGTCCACGCCCAGCCAGCAGCTCCCCTCAATACGAACATGCCGGTTAGGTTGCCTTTTGCAAGATGAGCCAGAGTCAGCTGGTCCCCAAGTTCTCCCGGCGGTCTCCTGTCCACCACACCACCCGAAAGGGCCGCCCGGCTCAACCAAAGTTTCCTCCAGAAGACGTCCATCAGATTTCCAAAGACTCCTTGGAACTGGATTCAGAAAGCCTTCCTGCAGAGAGCCAGTCCCAGCCAGAGCCGGAAGTCTGGGTACGAGGCAAGGACATGGAGGCGGACAGCCTGGAGGAGGAGAGCCCCGTCCAGGAGAGCCTGAGTGAGACGGAGGAGGAGGCCAGCAGGAAAGCAGCGCAGATGGCCAGCAAGGACCGCCTCCTCGAGCAGGGCCCTGGCACCAAGATCAGGTAAGCAAAGGGCCGAGCTTGCAAGGCGTTGCGGACTCTTCTCTGAGCGATTACAGACAGCTGGCAGCTGGACGCTTTGCCACTGCCAATTCCTTTAAGTTAAAAATGATCGAGAAACCGCAGAAGACCAATCCAGGTAGATTAGGGTGCTCTCATTCCTTAGGCTCCTTATTTCCTGTTCATTCCTTGGGGGTTGCCCCCACACGCTGACCTGACCTTGGAGAAGTCCCAGGAAGCTGGGTCTGGAAAAGCAGCCAGACTTGGGTGGCTGCGGAGTTGTTTGGGGTACAGTTTGGAAGGAGTCACTTGGCATGTCCGTAGCTCATTCTCCTCACCCGAGCAACGCCTCCCCAGTCTGGGGAAGGCTGTGGGGATGAGGAGATGCACATTCTGGTGGTAGAGTCCTTTGTGAGCCTGTGAAGTTCAGAAAAGACCCACACCCCAGGGTTCATATGCAGATTTCCTTTTTTTTTTTTTTTTTTTTTGCTTTTTGTGTCACACCCGGTGATGCACAGGGGTTATTCCTGGTTTATACACTCAGTTATTACTCCTGGCAGTGCTCGGGGGACCATATGGGATGCTGGGAATCAACCCCTGTTGGCCACGTGCAAGGCAAACGCCCTACCCGCTGTGCTATCACTCCAACCCCCAGATTTCCTTTCTATGGATCAATATTTATGGCCTATAAACATGATGCTCTGGGACTGGAGCTATAGTACAGGGGGCAGGGCATTTGCCTTGCACGTGGCCAACCCGGGTTCAATCCTCGGCATCCCATATGGTCCCCCGAGCACCGCCAGAAATAATTTCTGAGTGCAGAGCCAGGAGTAACCCCTGAGCACCCAAAAAGCAAAACAAACAAGCAAAAAACATGATGCTCTCCTGCAAAAAAAAAAAAAACCCATATACAACAGTAGCACTGTCCTTCTGCTCGAGCAGGCACCAGTAACGTCTCCATTGTGAGACTTGTTGTTACTGTTTTTGGCATATCAAATACGCCACAGGGAGCTTGCCAGGCTCTGCCTTATGGGAGAATTACTCTCAGTAGCTTACTGGGCTCTCTGAGAGGGACATACAAAAGTACAATATCAATTTGTGAAAATAGAAAATCAATTTGAGAAAAAATAATAAACAAAGAACAGAAGTTACCAGCTATTGAGAGAGGGAACCAGAGAGACAGTAGAGTGAGTCAGGCACTTGCCTTGCTCACAGATGACCTGGGTTTCATCCCTGGCATCCTGGTACCGCATCTGGCCCCCTGAGCCCGCCAGGAGTGATCCCTGAGCTCACTTCCAGGAGTAAGCCCTGAGCATCCTGGGATGTGGTCCCCAAACCAAAATAAAGTGATTGATTAGATAATGCTCAGATTTTGGAGAATGTGTCAGGCCCAGGGTTCAAGCACCGGTGCCCCAAAGCTGTTGATAAACAAACTGTAAGAAAGAGAGGAATAAGTGTCCTAAATCATTAGAGGGAACCTGCAGATTCATGGCAGGTGGTTTTACTCATAGCAGTCCAGGGGAAAGGATGCCAGAGATATAGGACACCTGCCTCGCATGCAGCCAAGCCCAGTTCGATTCCTGGCTCTACACATGACCTTCTCAGCCCACCAGAACCAATCCCTGAGCACAGAGTCAGGAGTAAATAAGCCTGGAGCACCACCAGATGTGTCCCCAAAGCAAAAAAAAAAAAATTGGAGGGAGGACTCAAATATCCACCCACAGATGACTAAGGGGCAAATGTCCTTAGCATCTCTGGGCTGATATTTGGGTGAAGGAAGGCAGGAATAACTGCTGCCTGCTATTACCTGGCTAAATCATGGAAACCTGGTGCTAGGAAGCCCGCTCCTGTGAGACTGTTCACACACAAGGGGCAGAGCTGTGATCCCACAGAAGCTCCATCTAGATGATGAGTGGCCGGTGGTGGGGAGTCGGGGGGATGGGGCCACTAATACTCTTCTTTGGGGGGGGCGATGGAAATATTCTAAATGCAGAGTGGCAATAGCCGTCAAATGCTCCAACCCAACAAACTGTGCATTTGAAGAGCTTGAAATGTTATGCTCTTAAAAATGTCAGGGCTTACAGGGTTGACGCTGGATGGGACATGTGAGCTGAAAGTGGGTGAAGGACCAAACACGATGGCCTCTCAGGATCTGTACTGCAAACCATAATGCCCAGAAGTAGAGACAGTGAGAAGAAAAGTACCTGCCATAAAGGCAGGTGGGGAGTTGGGTGGGGGTGGCAGGAGGGAAACTGGGGACATTGGTGGTGGGAAATATACACTTGTGGAGGACGGGTGTTGGAACATTGTATGACTGAAACTCAATCATGAAAGCTTTGTAACTGTATCTCACAGTGATTCAATTTTTAAAAAATTTTAATAAATATTTGCTCGAGCGGGCCCAGTAATGTCTCCATTGGAGACTTTGTTGTTACTGTGTTTGGCATATCGAATACGTCACGGGGAGCTTGCCAGGCTCTGCCGTGTGGGCAAGACACTCGGTAGCTTGCCGGGCTCTCCGAGAGGGGCAGAGGAATCAAACTCGGGTCGGCCATGTTGGCTGCGTGCAAGGCAAACGCCCTACCGCTGTGCTATAAATTTTTTAATTTTTATTAGTGAGACACCATGAGGTACAGTTGTAGACTTAAATATTTTTGTGCTTGGGTTTCAATTATACAATGATCAAACACCCATCCCTCCACCAGTGCCCATTCTCCACCACTACAGGTCCCAGTCTCCCTCCCACCCCCCATGCCCCCATCCCACCCTGCCTCTGTGGCAGGGCATTCCCTTTTGTTCTCTCTCTCCTTTCGGGTGCTGTGGTTTGCAAAAGAGGTCTTGAGTGGCAATCATGTTTGGTCTATAATCTGTTTTCAGCATGCATCTCCCGTCCTGGGAGGATCCTCCCAACACCCTCTATTTGGTGCTCACTTCTCTATCTGAGCTGCCTTTTCCCCTAGAACGTGTGGCTGGCCTCCAAGCCATGGAGCAAAGTTCCTGGTACTAATCTCGGCCATTGTTGGGTGTTAGTCTCCTTTAATAAATATTTTTTAAAGGAGCCAGGGTTACAGCGATAGTAGAGTGGGTAGGGCACTTGCTTTCTATGTGCCCACCCAGATTCAACCCCCAGCACCTCAAATGATCCCCTAAATCCCACCAGGAGTTGGGCGATCCCTGAGTACAGAGCCAGGAGTGAGCTCTGAGGTGTGGCCACATGCGGCCCCCAGACAAAAGCCATCAGGCCAGTGCTGGGCTCTATGGTCCAGTGTTTGCTGTCCTGGGTGAGGCCCTGAGTTCGATCCTTGGCATCTCACCGGCAGACAAAAGGGAGTCTCTGTGTGATGATGAAGGCACAGAGTCACCATCAGGCCTTCTGGGTACAAATTCTGCCACTTGCTAACGGGGAGACCTCGTCCATGGCCCCTCAGACCTGCCTGGGTCTCCTCCTGCTCCGGAAAAGTGCCAGGAAGCCAGTTTCCTTGTGGGGTTATTGTGCGGCTACAAAAAGAGCTTGGAGGAGGCTGGAGCGATAGCACAGCAGATAGGGCCTTGCACACATCCAACCCAGGTTTGATTCCCAGCATCCCATATGGTCCCCCAGGCACTGCCAGGAGTGATTCTTGAGTGCAGAGCCAGAAGTAGTAACCCCTGAGCATTGCCAGGTGTAACCCAAAAAGCAAAAAAAAAAAAAGTGGCTTTCATGCCCAATTCAATCAGCCTAATCAAGGGCTGAATAGATAGCAGTACTCCTACTTTAAAATAAAGAAGAAGAAAAAAGAGCTTGGAACCGAGACTACCTCTTGGGCTGGTGTTAGGTTTGGGGTTGGGGAGGACGTTTCTTAGGCAGCAGGGGTCCTGGGACCCTCCTCAGCAATATCACAGACCAGTGCTCAGACCCAGTGGTGCTTCACAGTGCTCAGGGATTAAACTTGTATATGCCTCGAGCTACCTCCTTTATCCCTAAGGTAAGGTAAAGGCCCTCCCGTTGATCGTCGATTTGCTCGAGCGGGCCCAGTAACGTCTCCATTGGAGACTTTGTTGTTACTGTGTCTGGCATATCGAATACTCTCGGTAGCTTGCCGGGCTCTCCGAGAGGGGCGGAGGAATCGAACTCGGGTCGGCCATATTGGCCGCTTGTAAGGCAGACGCCCTACCCACTGTGCTATCGCTCCAGCCCCAGATCATTTTTTTTCTAATTAGGGGTAAAACTGAGTGGGCAGGTGCCAGAGAGATTTTGCCACTGATGCTCGTCTGGTCTCCATCATAAGTCCCTTTAGGCGCCCTGAGCATTACTTGGGAGCACCCACTGAGCATTACTTGGGAGCATCCACCAAAAAAGAATAGTTGGCTGGGCAGGGTTTCGTAGACCAGGTAAGATTTCGGGAAAGTGCAGACCTAAAGGGCTGAGCGTCAGAACTAAAGGGTCAGTGTGGCCGACTGGCCGTTCCCCAAAGAGGGCCCTGAACAAGGGCCCCAGTCAGAAACCCTAGAGCAGAGCCCCACGAGGGCTCGAGGGCTCGTGTGCCAGCGGAATCAGAGCCCAGGCTGGAGGCTGTTCCCAGAGAAGGGGCGCAGGGGAGCGTGGACAGGGAAAGTGACCAATGCTGGCATGGAGGCCCAGTCAGAGCCCCATCCCGCTGTTTGAATGACAGGGGCCGCTTGATGGAGCGACCACCAGGTGGCGCTGTTTACAACACCACCCAGCAGCGTCTGACAGCTCTTTCAAGGCACTGCTGCAGTTTCCCTCAACTCATTCCTGTCGAATGCCCTTCCCATTCGACAGATAAGGGCAGTCTGCCCCCCAGGGAAAGTAATTTCCCCCATTTAGAGTGCTAGGACTGGAAGTTTGTCGTTTTAAATTCCTGATCTTATAAATTCAACAACATCAGCAACACACTAACCTACTGAAAACCACAAACGTGACGATGTAGTGCCCGCCTCTTGTCATAGTTGCTGTAGGTGATTTTATTTTAAAGACCTAAAATGTTCTGGGTAAAGTTCTT